AAACAGGAATACAGTCTATGATATATTTATTAACAAATAAAAATTGTTTCAGTTTCTCTTTTACCCCAATATTGCTTATATAGATAATCAATTCTTCAATCAAATGTATCCGTACCATTTTTGTAACCAATTTTATTTAAAACATATATCAATTGTACAAAAAGATTTCCTTTCAAAAATGTCCCATAAGAAAATATATGCGAATCGACCTGTCACCCCTTGAAGCGATAAAGGGATGTAAATTAGGGTAGAGAAAAAAGAATTTAAAGTGTCTCTATTAAGGGAATTGGGGTACTCAAGTAAGCCCCAAAGCGATTTACCGCAGTTGACACGCGACACTTCTCAACAAAAAAGAGGCACGATACATGCATGCGTATACACACACACACACAGGTAATGAAGTCGAGATTCAAATTTAAATTCACCCCTTTCTAAATGTTTAAACGGTTCCGAAAGGTCGTGGGCCTGTTTAGGTGCAGTTGAAGGAATAAAAGAGATTGTTTGACGTGTGAAATGTTAATATACAAAGAGATTTTATCGCATCTTTTATAGGTGAATAAATAGTAGGATGATTTATTCATTGATTGAATAAATTTGCTTAGAATTTTTATGTATTTCAAAAATTTTCGCAAAACTAAAAACTAAATGTAGGCTTCATAAAGTCAACATAAAATTAGGTAACTATACTGCTCAACAAAAGAAAGTTTACAAATATTGAGATTAATTTAAAAGTTGCAGGTTTTTTGATCGCCAAATTTAGTATGAGTTGTAGAGGTATGGACAAAAAATCCACTCAGGTATTTATTTATTTATTTATTTATTTATTTATTTATTTAACGTATGAGAGAAAACATTTAATTTCGCATATTTGAAAATTTGGTGATCAAAAAGTCTGTAACTTTTAAAATAATCGCAAAATTTGCAAACTTCCTTAACTTTTGTAGAGCAGTTTATATATTAATCGGCAAACTTCTGGTGATCAAGGGGCACTTTAATTTCATTTAAAAAGAGATTTTTTTGAATTTAAAGTTGAATCTAATTGTATATTCCGGGAGAATGAATCGAACGGATCCATTGAAGAAAAAGCCGGCGATCATTGGAATGTTATTCAGATCGATGTATGTTCGTTCCTTTTGAGTAGAAGTATAGTTGATTGATTTCGCCAACTCCAATAATACTAGATGCTTTGAATTCCCGACATCTAAAGGACTGCATAAAAAAGCATTATACAAACAATGCGAGCAGGGTTGGAATCGAAACATTTGAAATAGAATCGGTGAAATTCATAGGAAAAACATCAATTAACTGGGATGAGGTGCATTGATCCTATTTTTATAATACCACGTCAGTCATTTGTGAAGACTGATATTACTTATTAACACGACTTGTAAAATACAATAATACCTAAATGTTATATTCGTATACTTGACGTTTATCTCTGGGAGTATTTTATTAAAATTGTTTACATTTTGACTGTGGTAGGTACTTTAATTTTTCATAAATACATCAATTATCTGATCTGTTATGACTAAGTAATCATGATGAAAAATAAATAAATTTATCAATTCAGAACAAATTTATTTGCTTTTAATATTATAAACACCTGTTATCGCTTTTGAAATATTTATTAATACCATTCAAATAACCATCTTTTATTCCTATTGATATATTTTACAGTCTACATTATAATATACGTAATAATAAGTAAAATAATATCTACACAGCGACATGTGATGATCTTTACCTATTTATGGAGTTTAGGTACTAATATCAAATATCAGATTATTAAAATATTATTTCTTATCATGGTGGTTCCAAAAAGCGTTAGGAATTCTGAGAAAATATATAAATTTAATTTTAATATTTTTCGCAACTTCCTTAGAAATATGCGTAGTTTTAAATCCATTTCATAATTTTCTTCTTTGGTGAATGTAGCTACATTGATATTTTTGACAAAACACTAATTTGACAATATATGTACAACAAAAAAGAATATTTTATTGAAAACGAACCGTCTGCGCCTATGATGGCAAATACTAACATATGGGGGTGTGAGGGTGAATACATAACGATAGTGTGTGTGTGTGTCGGTTCTGGCCACTGGCTATCCTGTCAGTCATTTCACAGCTATCCTTAGACAAGGATCCTTAAAGAAGGTCCTTTCAAAAGTCGTTTGAACTTTCGTGCGCCTAAGTGCCAGTACTTAAATTTAGGAAAGATTATCAGTAGAGATGTTATTTAAATCATCGAATTTAGTAATTTTATTTATACCAATGATTATTGTCAGTGCATTAGTTTACTTTTTAATAAAACATGGGATGTTATTTATAATATAAAATAAATACCGAAGCGAAGAAGGTGGGATAGCATGTGATGTTTAAACAAATCCTTATCAATTCAAGAAAGCTTAATTATCTACTTTATCGATATATAGTGTGTATATCGTAATTTTAAATATTCAGTTATACTAATAATCTTACTCCAATATGTCATCTCTATTATCAGTGCTGAATAATACAAATAATAATATGCCGCACAGAAATTATTTTAACTATCTAAACTATGATGTAAATGTGCCTCCATTCATGATGCCTTATTCAAGTAAGTACCCTTTAAATTTTATTTTTAAATCGAAAAATTTATAGATTAAGCGAATATTTTCGATTTAACACTTCAAATAGAATTATTATATAGCAAGATGATTTTACGATTTCATTATAAAATTCAAAATCAATCGAGACTAAAAATATTTTAAATAAATTATTCCGAAAAAAAAACTGAGTGCCCAAAATTATTTTTGATAATAAAGATAATAAAGCTTTTTGATAGTAAAGTAGGTAATTTATTTTTCATTATGAACGAGCACGCGTACCTAACTTTTAACAGTACTAAAAATTTAAAAAATTTATTCGTTTAGTTTTTTGTGTATTTTGATTAGTGATTTAATTTAACGCATGACGTTAAATTATCACAAACGACAATGAACCCTTTTGTAACGAACGCAGACCTTTTCTTTCGGTTACAAAAATGAACGAAGACTTAGATTTAGTCCGAACAAAAAATTTATTTGATTAAAATTGATTCATAACAAAAATTATCCAAAGGCGCTTTTGTCCACTGTTGCTTACCATAAATTATTTAAGGCTCACACTAATATTTTGTTCGGTGAAGGTACTTTAATTGAGTGTGAATTATTTCATAATTTATTAAATATGTGAGTGCACTTAAAGTTTTGTATTTTTACATTTTTGAGCTCTTAATAGTATATTTCTACGAAATTTCGTAAAATAAATTTTTGCGGAACTATTTATTTATTTTTGACATATAAATTTAGTAGTAATAACAATTCTTCATTAACAAAAATTACTATTCTGATTAATTTTTCGAATACATCCAAGAGAATAATAATTCGATAAATAATCGATTTGTAATAATTTGTTCGTCTTCGAAGAAAATCCCTGTGTTAACTTCGTAACAAAAGAAAAATTAGATTTTATATCAAATTAATTGCAGTTTCTGCCACTGATGGCTATAATTTGGCGACAAAAAAGCATTCACCATAACATCCTATATTGGAAAACCAATTAAGAAACATATTATTGGCTTCTTCTGGACCGTTAATTTTTTTCATCGGATTTGGGCGCGTATTTAACAACTTGATAAATTTTTCTTAATTACTGCGATTTATCAGAAAAATTCAATTTACTAAATGTGCCCAAACATAGGAATTGATATGAAATTTATAGAAATACGACTATTATCATTTATACGATCGAAATATGTCATTTCCAACAGAAACGTTTATATAGGTATTAAATTTCATCTTGTACCCTGCTAGGAAACAAAATCAATAATAAATAATTTTATAAAAACTGTTAAGTAGTTTTATTACTAGAAGATATATTACTAAAATTATATACGAAAGAAAATAATTTCGTCCTTTCTCCCCCGTACACCTACATTTCTTTTAATCTAGAAAAAGGCTAAAAGTAAAATTTACAACTTTCGTCGAAATGAAGTCGTATAGTAGGATATATGCAAAAGCTCTCACTATAAGGGTGAAAAATAATAGCTAGGGGTCAGTTTTCTCTTGGGAGCCGTAAGGAGTAAACTATCCAGGACGACTTTAGATGGACATTTGGAGCCGCAAAAGCTCTCCTTATGTCTCCACATTTATAAATAAAATACATTAAGGCTTATGGTTTTGGTATAAGGTGTCCCGAGAATTTAGAATTGCATTACTTACAGCATACATAGATGTGTACGTAATATAGATGTTGCCAAATTTAAACAAATAATGCTATTGTAAAGTTTTTATATATTTTTCTATATGTTCTTAGGCACATGTTAGTTGCCTTTTATTCTGTATGTATAATTGTGATCCTATTGAACCCATTTATGTTCCAATATCAGGGTGTGGGTGTGTCAGAAATAATAAATGATGTATGTAACATATTGCAAACGTTGACAATAATATTAAAGATATTAATAAAGATGTTAATAAAAAAGAATTATAAGTAACTTATAATAATTTATTTTTTAAAGAAGTTGAAAGGAAAGGGCTATATTGATTTTGCTGTTTTTAAATAATAAATGAGCATCCAAACCTCAAGATTATTTGCATGCATGAAAATGTATTTTACATGTTACCGCGCGCAAATTGAGGGAGAATATGAATATCTGTGCGGCATGAATTTTTAAAAAATCATCGGCATGAAATGCATTCAATTCGACCGACGATTATTCAAATATTCAGTACCAATTACTATGCACGTGTTGTGACCTTTTCAAGTATGCACAATTCCATGAAATATTATAACAAGAACAAAATTAATTACGGTTTTATAGAACGTTTTCGACACGTTTATTTCAAGCAAATTTTGGCTTCAAAATTTCATTTATTATGACATATAAAACGAAAATTTCCTTGATAAAATTAATGAAATCCCCTAGGATCTTGTTCTTTACTATCTTTATTTATTAATTTCTTTTTTTTGCAGCTGAACCACGACCAAACGCGAGGCTAGACAAATCGCCCTCTACTCCACAATCTCATGATGGTAAGTTTGTTTTATTCTCTAGGCTCTATTGTACGCTCTATACTCTACACTCTGATGACTTACTTCATTAAGCTTTGTATTTTCCTAAGTGATATTCTTCATCATACTTGATTTCACACGCCAAACTTCTGTGTGGTAAAACAAAAACGCGGCTGCATTTTTAAAAACATTTAGAAATAAAACACAAGGATATAATCATCAAATGTTTGCGCTTCCAAACGAATTAAAATGATTGCCGAGTCGAAATTGACGTACCGCGAGAAAATACTAAATTAAAAAGCAACTGGAACTGGCGAAGTAATGGTAAAACACCTTCTTGCTCTTTGTCTTCTTAAAAGTATAATTTTATAATTTTTAACTGACCTAACCACCAATCATTGTTAATGTAATGTAATAACTAATGAGATTACCATTTAAATGACTTTCAGTTTTCAGTGGGATCCGACGTCTTGGTCGTTCATTTCGGTGAAGTATTTTTTACGCAACGCGATTTACTTTCTTGATTTTAACGTTCACTGAAATTAGCTCCTTTTTTTCAATTGATTAATTTTTATTAAAAAACGGCGTCGAATATTGTTAATCTGTATAATCCGCAAAAAATCCACACGAAGTTTTGACTTTAAACGCGCAAGTTCCCTCCAATAAAGCATCAGGCCGTTTAAAAAAGCTACAATACCTTTTTAAACTGTAATCCATTCTTTAAAATGGCGTATGCGTGACACGCTGGCGACCCTTAAATCGTTTAGAAGGGTTAAGGACGTTCGCATGGTATTTTGATTGGACGACAAGCCGGCGTGCGCTTTCTAACAAAGCGGTCACCTTTAACAGATTGGGGTTAGCGCTCAACAACAATGTCAGGACACGGATTTATTCAAAAAGATCATCAATCTTTCGATGACGTGGCGGTTTTCGAAAATTTGGCAGGAGCTTTGTTAAAAAGCGTTTGCAGCTTGCGACATATCTTGCGCAATTCATTCATATTGAATTAATTATGAAGGTTTTTTTACAAACACATTAGGGAGTGTTTTTTATTATGTATTTTGATAAAAATGGATATTACTGATACATATTTTGATTATCCATACATTGTTCTTCGTACGATCATGGGTGCCCCCTTAACCAGTGCAAATTACCCCCCTCTTATGAAAGTTGCACCATATTTTATATAAGAAATTAAGTCACCTAGAAAATAAATATAGCATTTTAATTCCTTAACTTTCAATAAGTACCTATGTAGTTTTAATATTTTTTTGGATTCAGTTCATATAGCTCCAATTTAGAATTAAACGGAAAACGTTGGAGCTAGGGTTGTTAAAAACGGATTTATTTTTCGTCATTAAGCATCCAAGAGGATTAAAAATAATTCACGCCGCCGTTAAAGTAAAATTCAATGAAAAGAAGAAATCGAGAAACGAAAGCCGCCGCCCGTCCACCCGCCCTGATGATGATCCATCAATCATCGGAGATCGTATTTCGTTTCATCGCATTAGTCGATAAAACGGCGTTTTGGGGGTGGGTTAAAAGAAAAAGGGGTGTGCGCCGGGGGTTGAAGAACGCTAATCCGTGAAAATACACCATAATCGATTGTCGCCGGTGCATATGCGAATTGTGATTGGGCTGTATTTATAAAAAAGAAATCCTCTCTGTTGTGAAAGGAACCCTCTCGTTGGAAAATGAGAAATTCAAAAATCGCGCTAGGTTTTATTAAGGGGTGCATAATTGGAATTTATGTATATCTATTCATAATTTCAGAATGGTGGTGAACTTGAATCGCTGCTGCTTTTGTGCAATATATGACTCATAATTTACTCTACGATATTAATATTTTTTTAAATTAAAATATGTACATTTATTTTTTAAATACATATCGAAGAACAATTTTTATTTCTTGTATAGAATATGGCGCATTTTCAAATCTTTCCTATAGATAAACCGCCGGCAGCTCAACAGAGCTTTCTCCTAATGTGTTTTCAGTGAATTCCGCTTGATATCGGTCTGATCTGCGTTTTGTTATTCAAAGTATATATCCACAAAAATCTGAATATTTTGTAGATTTTTGTAGGATTTATTCAGATTTCGATAGCGGTCAGGTGCTACCCGAGTTTCCCCGGAATGATTTGAGGGAAACGATTTCAGTATTTAGATCACGTTTCTCTGAGTTAAAAATCAAACCACCCTAGTTTATATATTTTATACGCAAGAATTGTTTAGTCTGTAGTACAGAACTAACTCTAATACGATTTCAAATTTACTTAAAATCTATATAGGACAGACATCTGTTGCAAAATTAGCTATAGACAATTTTAAATTTAATTACATTTAATCTCTACGTTATCGCAATTATACTTTATAATCAAAGATTAGAAAAATTATTATGAAATATTTCGCAAAATTTGCACTAATTTAAAAATGTTAAAAAGTATTCCGAGAATCCCCAGAGTCCCTCGACTATTTATCCACTTTCGTTATTCAAATTCCCTATTCGAGTAAAGGAACTTATTTGGACCAATCTCAATATGCATGCCTATTTGATATTCACTGTCGGTTTTCCTCTTTGCATTTCACAAAAAACTCTGAAATGTTTACGAATCGCCAGAACATACACACCTTAACCAATTTGTTTTTCGAAATCGCATCTTTTTTTTTTTGGGTGCATATATTTTAGTACAACATAAATAAAATGTAGGTATACCTACTACATAATTTAATGAAATAAAGAATATTATTGAAGATACACTGGATTTAGGCAACACAAAATACTCTGATCTCATTAACCTAAACAATTTTTGATTTACGTGATTAGTGATTGAGTATAGTATTGTTAACTGATATACAAAATTTAAGCGTTAATAGGAACTTACAAATAGTATTATTTTGTAGATGCAACAGATTTCTTATGCAACCATGAAGGATTAAAACTGTAATATATTTTTTAGTTAATTAAATTAAAATTATTTATCCGTCGATATCAATTTATTGATTCGCTTATCTACACCTAAAGCGTATTACCTAATCTAATCATCAAAATTAGGTTGACTTTAATAATATGTTTAGTTTCAAAATTAACAAAATTTATGAATTTTCAGACCCCAAGCAAATCCACTAAATCCTCTAAATCGTAAAAACCGATCGCTTATCTTCATTATTCGATCCACGACGTCGTACCCCCTTTTTCATACGTCATAATTCAAATAAATGTTTATAAAAGGCGAGTTCGAAACTATTTTCACGCTCGACTTGGCCCGTCACTGCCCCCGGCTCTTCTAAATATAAAAATTCACTAGGTGTGAAATTTCTTATAGCCGACGCAGGGGCAAGTGCCCTTAGCCGTTATCGATGCGTTATTCACCTTATCAACGTGTATGCAGGACTTAACAGCGCGTTGTCATCCTATCGGAAAATAGCTGTAAACATTTTCGCATTATTCCACTTACAAGTTGTTACGACCGCAGGAAGAAATAAAATGAAATAGTTTGACTAAATGTAGTAAAGCGCATTTGAGGGGTTTTCTGAGATGTTAAAAAGTTATTTTTGTTACAGATGGTGAAGCCAATGGTGATATCAGTGGCGATGACCAAAGCGTTGCTAGTGGTCACCCAGATCAGAATGACGATAATTCAATGGACTCCGAAAGAGGTGGTGCTTTAAATTTGGTAAGTACATATTGATCCAAACATTATTATTTATCTTTTAATTGGAGAAAATTTAACTTCAAGAGTTAAGTTATTATACAACTGATACACTTATACAACTGATATTTGATGATAAAATTGTGAATTCTGTCAATTTATTTTCCCTTCAAAAAATTTATAGAGGGCTTTTATAAAATTTTAAGGGCCTCTAGCAAATTTCTCGTTAACGTCAATCTATTTCCTTCAAAATTAAATCAGTGTTTCGTGTAATAAATCTAACTCGGCAATTCCCGGATGAGCGAAAAACAGTTCGAAGCCCTCTTCAAAAGTTAAATGTTTTAATTCTTTTGGGATACAACCCCTCGCTTTATTTCAAACTTAATTTCATTTTTCGTATTTGTAGCATTTAACATTTTATTGGAATACCTGTCAACTTTATTGTAGAATCGGTTTGAAATTGATGGATAGGTCGATTCCTAGATGTTAGGCCTTTGTTAATAATTTGTAAAGTAAAATACCAATTACTTTTTTACAAGTTCTTACTTAAATAGTAACCGTATGAAACGATAATTATAAAATTGATACTTTTTTACCACGTGTTTTTTATCTCTTTAAGGCAAGTATCTGTCAAATTTTAATTTTACCTAAATAAATATTAGATAATTGAGCATTGGGTTTTTTAGTCCCAGATTCTTTTATCAAATTCGAATTTGGCGCTATCTTCAGATAAGAAAAATCTACTACATCGTCTAACACATATTTATTTTACCGTATAAAAATTGTTATTTTTTATTTAACTAAAATCATTAATGTACAAAATTGGTATCTAAGGCACCTTTCAACTACCTGCCTATGTACTGAGGCACTTGTGTTTTTATCTTATCTTCACTTCTGAGAAAAAAATTGCCTTGTTACTACTATTTTTTACAATTTCATTTTGTTTTCAATAATAATTAGATGCGATGGTAGGAGTTATAAATATTTAATTTGGTAAGTTATCAAATTTAAACCGGTTTGTAAAATTATACCACTTTTAATGTTCATAATCATTCTGCAATTCCACGCATAGGGAGTTTCATTAAAATTTCACTTCCTCAAAGAATATTTTTTCAAAATGAGATCAATCTATTCAACAGCAATCAATAAAATTATTAATAATTTAGGACAAGGAAACACACGTGATAACAAAATCCGTATAAAATATTTTTTTAATATGTAAGTACCTACAGATTTAAAAAATTTAAAAGTAATTAATTAAAAAGTATTTCCAAAATAGCTAAAATCATTAAATAACAGTTTATAGGGCCCAAAATATGCAATCATTAGGTATACAAAGATTTATAACAATATTTTTTTCCTTTAAGGTGAGATCAACGAACGAGCAACCTAGAATATCCACACCTAACTCGCAGGTAACGAGTTCCAGTCAAGGCGTTGGAGCAGCACTCGCAGCTTTAGGCAGTTTAGGCGGAATATTCGGCAATCACCTACAAATGCTGGGCAGCCTACCTGCTTTCCAAAGTCCGCAGAGCTTGCAGCAACTACAGCAGCTCGCTATGTTGCAGCAAGCCAGCGGAAACCAAATGAATCCACAAGCTCAATTTTTATTTCAAAACCAGGTAAAATGAAACTCGGATATAATAAAGATATTTATATAATTACAAGATTATAAAGAAATGCATCTATTGGAAGTTTTACACTATATCAGTGTATTGTAATTGTAGCATTTCTAAAAAATTGGAATATTGTGTTTAAGATTCAGGTTTTAACATAATTTTACTGGATGATGATTATTGGAATCACTGTATAATCTCTCTTATCATTAAATTTTAAGTATCAATTATCTATCGGGCCCCGAAGGTTACTTTAATACGCCTCTAATAAATAAAATGCAAATCAATTAATAATATGTTTTCAAGATTTATTTACAATACTTGTCAAAATTCTAATGGCTCATACATGATTTTTCAATTTAAGGGTTTCCTTCAAGGATTTTCGCATTCCAGTATACCATCCAGACCCCAACATACGATGCAGGTGTGTTTTTCGGAAAGAAATCTGAACATACAATTATGTGTAATGTTTCAATCAGCATGTTGATGTTCCAGTTCATTTTATACACCCTTTGTGATTGTTGTTATTTACACACCTTCCCAACGAATTTTAAAAATTTGTTGTAGACTATACAAAACATAAAACACGCTTCTACACTATTTTGTTCTTTATGCTTGATAGCATGAAATTATCGTTACCAATTTACACAATACAAAATAGAATCCAGAGTATTTGTTACATTGAAACGTACCAACACAAAATTTCATTTATTTGCATCTGCCATTATTTGTACTAATTATTATAAATTAAAATCTTTCCCATTGTCAGTCTTTCGGGCTGAAGGAATAAAGAAGAATTGGACATTAAATTGTGATAATTAGTACCTAATTGTTTATTTACATAAAGCGATAGTTAAAGAACACCGCAAATTTCAAATTGTTGATGATTTTAAAGTACCCACCAAAAAAAATTGATAATTGTTGAAACTTGTTTACATTTTTTAAAGATTTTAAAATCTCTTACTCATCCTAAGAGTGCATACATGATTACATCAAGTGTAGACCACTTTACTTAATAAAATTCACTTAGGATGCAATGCATTTACGATATCCGCGGAAATCTATAACTATTGCAATCAATTTAAAAACGCAATTTTGGTCCGATTACTAACATATTTACGTTGCAGGTACAACAAATCGCGCAAGCTGCCCAACAGTTGCAACAACTTCAAAAAGTACAACAAAACACAAATCAACACAACACCAGTATTCCATCTAACAATCCCATGCCCCATCAGACGCAAACGACACCACCGAATAATAATCACAATATACCTGCCAGTTTGCTAACGCCGAGTACGCCCAGCTCGGGTGGTCTCACCCCCCAACACCTGAAGACACCTTCCAGAATATTAGAACCGTCGCCCGAAGAAACAACGGACCTCGAAGAATTGGAACAATTCGCCAAGACATTCAAACAGCGAAGGATAAAATTAGGTACGGTTAATTCCATTTCTTCATGAAGAACAGAAATATTTTTAGAGTCGATTATTCACAGGTTTCACGCAAGGGGATGTGGGTTTAGCAATGGGAAAACTCTACGGCAACGACTTTTCCCAAACGACCATATCCAGATTTGAAGCTTTAAATCTGAGCTTCAAGAACATGTGCAAACTGAAGCCGCTGCTGCAGAAGTGGTTGGAAGACGCCGACAGCACATTGGCCAATCCAGGAGCTCTCAGTAATCCCATGACTACTCCCGAAACTATAGGCAGGAGGCGGAAAAAAAGGACGTCCATCGAGACGAGCGTGAGGGTGGCTCTCGAGAAGGCTTTTTCGCAGAATCCGAAACCGACATCTGAGGAGATATCGATGTTGGCGGATGGTCTGTGCATGGAGAAAGAAGTCGTAAGAGTCTGGTTTTGCAATCGAAGACAGAAGGAGAAGAGGATAAATCCACCGGCGGCAGTGGGATCGCCTTGCTCCGTGGGAAACACAAATGGAAACATTCCGTTTCACATTGCCAATAGCTTAGCAACTAGTCCCTTGTCGTTGGTGACTTCCAGTGGCCATAATTACAACCCTAATGTGATGGTTAAGCAAGAATGACCCCCGCTGAGCTTTTTTGCAGACCATTTTTTAGAATAGTTTGATCTTTATGTGCAATGGTTGCAAATATCAATGAACCCCGGTTTTTGTGTACTATTTACCACAATGTTGGTGTAAAAGAGTAGCTGTATTATAAATGAGAGCCAAATATGTAAAAATACAATGAATTATTTAAGGTTATGAATTATTTTGACATCTTCGTTCAGTATTTTAAGAGACGTTGTACTTAGATCTCACTAAATGTTTAATCGTCGAGCCAGAATAACAACAAATTTTTAGGGGAATTGAATTGGAGATTAAGCCGCAGTTTTTTTTTATAATTGGTCTTCCAACGACAATTTTGATCGTCGCGTGTTAAAATTAACATACTTCTTTAGGTAAATTTGGCTCGAAATTTTTTGGAAAAGTTTATAACAATAGTCCTTACATTCTGTACGAAGCAGGTTTGAGACATTATCATCTTCTACATTTTTTATTTTTTAAATAAACTCGTTTTTAATCATTTAAAAAGAAAAATTTTATATAATTTAATTATCTATAAATACATAAGTAAATAAATACGTGAATTTTCAATTTAATAAAAAATTATATACATACTCGTAATTGAAAAAGTACCTTATCAATCTCCTTCCTAACATGAACACAAATTGTCCGAGATTTAATCAGGTAATAATATATTCTACAGATTGAGCGCAGTTCTAATATTAACCAATTGCACTGTTTCTGTAGTTTATAATCTTGAAGTTTTTAAATGTCCTGTTTTCACAACTGTTATCGCAGTTGCAGTAGGTTTCTGGGATCAAAATACTATAAATATTTGTAGTATTTGCAAATCCAATTATATCCTTTCTGCACCCTGTTTAGGACAAAGTAAATTACCACATTCAAGCTTCAAACTTAAGACCTTCAAACTAAAACTTCGAATCTAAAAAAAATCCTAGAGTTGTCGAGAATATAAATGTAGTAAATTTTATTGTACTTGACTTGCTATTTACTTTATTAAACTTTCTTCTCCTTTAGTTATCATACTTAGAAAATTATTGAGATGTTTGATTGATTATTTGAAATCTTAACAACGAAGATGTAATAGTCTCAAATAAACATCATTATTAATAATAAAATATCGACTGTCTGTTATTATTTATGCCAAATATTCTTATGTAGACTTACTTAATAGACTTGAGATATCAACGTTTTATTTTTATTGTATATGCGTACCTATTTGTTTAATGTACCTATTAATGTATATAGTTTTCGTCGTAAATTTATTTCCATTGTCCGTTTTGAAATATTAGCAGATGGCATTCAGTTGTTAAGCAGGGTCTCATATAATTATTTATTTGATTGTTTGTCATTTGCTGATAATTGTACAATTTGTAGATAGTTTCTATGTTATATGGCGAAAACGTAAACATCACATTTTAGATTTTAGAAAAATAACCGTTTAGAAACGTGTAGTGTACATGAATTTTATTATTCACCTTTAACCGTTAATATACAGAGTATTTCTATTTTTGCGAATTTATTATTTTTGTTGTTTTTCCTGCCAACTTCAAATTTCTTGCTTGCATTATTTTTGCTTCAATATAAATTGGTTTGTTTGGATTTGTTGAAATACTCTGTTTATAACAAATTAGTGGTTCTTGTTTATGAGGACCAATATATAGAAATGTTTAAAGTTCCTAACGATGAAACATAATTGTTGATTTTTATTATATTTCCCTTCGGATTGTCCACATTCTTTACAATTCGTTATTATTTAAAAAAATGTTAGACTGACAGTGTTAATTTTATTTAAGACCTTAATAATAAGAAGAATAGGGTCGTTTGTAATTTTTTTGTTATACACACATATATTTACTGTATATCTCATTGTATGTTAAAAACTAAATTGATTAATATAAATTTGAACAAATATTCCAAAATTATATTAGTCGATTTGTATCTACAGATTTACATATACAAACCTATTTCGTACCTAATACGTTTTTCTATGTGAATCAGATTTGTTCTTTCAATTCAAATATACTTCTAATATGGATATTACATTGATAAATTTCATGTAATTATTGTGAATTATTTACTTAATTGCATTTGAAATCTAATTTATAATTTAGTCAGTTTACTTCTCACGAAGAGTACAAAAAAATTAAATAACATCGAAAATTTTAGATTTTAAAGACTACATTTATCTAATTTCGTGAGTTTTCTAACCGACGAAATTTATAATATCCTTTTTCTATGCTTGAATTGAAAAAAAATAATTATAATATTTACGTAATGTATTTGTCAATACCTATAGATAAAGTCAAAAAATGTGCAGAGGCCATTTTCTTCTAAAAAAATGAACATATCGTACTATTTTAATTGCCCAGTATACAAAACGTAACACTTAAGCCTTTGAACATTTTGAATATAAAAAATTCTAAGTCATATCAATGTAAGTTAGTGTAATAAACAACTTTTAAAAATGAAATTATTTGGGTACATAATAATAAGTACAGTTAAAAATGTATGGAAATTATAGAAAATATAGTCTTTTGTAGGTATATGTGTGTAGTGAGTGTAGAAATTTTCAACTCATTACCGATGAGTTCCCAAGATTGTATCGATTCTCGATTGATAACAAAAGTTTTAAATTTTGTACGAGTCGTGTATTGGTTTATAGAAAGATTAAATTTGTAATGAATTAGAAAAAACTGAGCATGGAATTTTTAAGGAAACAATGTTTAAGACCCTATTCAGATGTGTATTATATACTGTGGTCTAGGCAATAATATGTACATTATTTTCATTAAAGAAATGGATTCATAAAGTAGTATGTTTTTATTTTTTATTACCCTTATTAAAAAATTGCCATATTTAAACCATCTATTTGTGTTCCAAAATGTGTCCCATTTCTTTCACCTCGTCCAGTTTAGGATTTAAAGACAAAAACACTCAAAATAGACAAACGTTTTTATTATACGAGTTTACACAACTCATAATAAATCTATTTAAATAATCACGTTAACATTTATCAGAAGAACTGATCTTCTTGAGTTTAGCATTGAAACGATTCCGAAGTTCTGGCACGCTAAGCTCAAAGTTAATAGTACTCCTAATATTATTTACACTCGAGACAATATTAGATTTGCTCCCAGCCAGCGTTTGACTAGTGCATAAACTGATCAGTAGCTTAATGAATATGCAACAGAAAAATTTCCACACAGAAAGGTTTACTGCACACTTAACGCTGATTGGAAACAGAGCTATAACATAAATAAACCGCGAAGAGTGCCTCGTAAGGGTTTTGGCGTTTTTCTTTAATTAGTGCGAATTTTGAAACATGTAATGACGTTGCTGTGAAACATTCCCAACAAAGAAATAACGAAAAAAATCTGTTAATAATACATAATTTGTACTATTATAAGGGATAGCCATCTAAAATGGTATCGGGACATATGCAATCCTGACCATTTGCGACCCTCTATCTTAGTTTGTGTTGATCTTGGAACATGTAAAGAAACAGAGGTGGGATATTTGCTACCATTGAGAGTAGAGTATAATAAAAAATTAGTAGACGCAAATCAGGGTAGATTCGGAGTAGGGTAGGTAGGTTTACCAATGTCCCAGGGTTGCAAATGGGCACGGTCGCAAATGTGCAGGATCCATCTCAAATACGCTAAACTTTTTATGCGAAACATATTGAATTAAATAAAACAGTTGCAGAAATAAATTTATATTATGAGCTTCTTCAATTTTTCCATACATTGAATCAGTACATACTTTTATGTACTGATGTACCTTGATAAAACAGGAAAATTTTTCTTTGTACATAACGTACTTTTCGAAGCATATGTAACTAGAAAAACGAAAATAAAAATCTGATTTTCTGTTCATTCAAGCAAGTCATGAAAACTATTAAATACAGAAATAAATAGGAATATCGACTGTTAAAATTTATTGGAAGCTCATTATATAAAAACTCGTTATTTAAAGAAACAAACTTTTTGTTTATCTTGTATTCAATAGAGGCTTAATTAGTAAAACAACATCTCATTTTTTGGGATTGCTCGTGTAGCTCAAATTTTAAGCAAATTAACAGCTTCAAACAAAATCTGAAAATATACAACTTACAATTAAAAAAATAATCGCGTTTTAATACAAGTTGATTTACTGCTTATATTTATCGTAATATAGCAAAAACAAATTTATTCTATTTACAAATATATATTTCCGTGTAATCGTTTAACATTATTTTAATATGTTGTATATTATGAAGGAGAACATGAACCCGTTACGTCTAGATCGTCGTCGGAAGGAAAACTGCTGGAACTAGAATCTGAAGAACTGCTAGAGTTGCTGTATAAAGGGTAGAAAGTGGCATCTCCTTCGCCCCCATTCGGAGGCGCTCGCTGAAAACGTTACCACACAATCAATTGATAGCTTTCAACAGTGAATAAAGCAAAATCAGAGAAATTTCCGCTCGTATTTTGAAAGTTCCTTATTCTTAAAATACAATTACACAAATAACTCTCAAATTACTTTATTTACAAATAATATATATGATTATGTAAGAACGAGTTGCAAAAAATATGTTGTAAAAAAATCCTGGGTCCAGTTTCATATCACCATCAATCGTCATAATCATCAAGTACAAACTATAAAGAGTATTCAAATTAAATGATTTTCATTAATTGTTATGTACTCTTAAGGTATTCAAAACATTCGATAATTTCCAGTAAATGAATACTAAAATGCTTTAGTTTGTTATGTTCAGTTGAAAAAATGTTCAAGCCTTAATATTCATTAAAAATATAATAAAATTCCACAATACGCTAGCATGGCTGAAGAAATTAGCCGATGTTGTTAATAATAGTCACCCATATAATAATTTCAAAATATTTACCCTAGCTCGGTTAGTGTTCCTAAGATGTCGCCACAGCATCCACAACATTTGACTTTCATTGAGATCGGGAGGAATCATCGACGTCCAATTATTTCGAGCTTTCTTATTATTTTTAATGGTCGCCGTGAGACCCTTGAATGTCGGATCGTTTTCGCACGAAGGCACCCAAACTTTGACGTCCCAATCAAGGCCGCTGGTGCAAATGTAGGGCACTTGAGGATGAGGTTCCAAGCAATTCACCTAAACAACATACTTATTTAACTAGCTCCCGCTCGGTTTAAAAACTCTCCAGTTTTTGGAGCTTGAAAACATATTAACCAAACACTTACCACGCCGTTATCGTCGGCTAACAACCACTGAACAATAGCCTCGGTGTTTTTCTCCCAAAAGTAAACGTTACCACAGTCAGACCCGCTAACGATAAACTCCGATTTAGGACCGAAGAAATTGACTCCTTTGATTGTCGCGCCGTTTCTGTGGCCTTGGTACTCGTGCAGGAAGTTGCCGGGCTCGCTGTTTACGTCGAACAAATACACATCACCGTCGTTGTAGGAGGCGAGAATCTCGGAGCCGTCGTGATTGTAAACTGCGCAGGTCACGTGCAGGCCGGTGTAGCCGCAAGAATCGCTCTAAAAAGTAACGGGAAAAATCAACAAGCGATAACGCAGATTTTAAGAAATAAATCTGTATCTGAAGTGGTTATCTTATGACATACGTAATTTAAAAAGGTCTAAGTTTAGAGTAAAAAGTTTGAAGGCTTTTTTGTAAGAAAGTGTTATCTCATAACCAGTATTGTAATAAACAAATGTCGTTTACTTACAAGTTTTTTAAAAGGATGATATATGTGTAAAGGATTAATACTTTTCCTCTGATCGTATACTCTAACTATTTGTTCTCTACCACTGACGCAGAATTCCACGGATTTTAAAGGATTCGCATGGATACTATACAAAGCCACTTCTCTTCCATCTTCTTTAACGCTGACTATCCTGTAAGAATGAACCGTTATATTAACAATAGCTGCAGTAATGAAATAAATAATCTACTGGGAACCATTAGTCAAGCAATGGGTGCTATAAAGGGTGCTTAAAAAAATTATACTAACCTTTCTTGTTTACTTTTCCTAACATCATGACTAAATACAAGGCCGTCCTCTCCAGCGCTCAAAATCACATGAGGTTGTTCATTTAATACGGCAATTTTGTGGCAAGGTCCTCTATGACAACCTAATTTTCTATTATCTCTTACACCTTCTTCAGCCGAAACTTGAGCAATGCGCACCTTAAAATTACAATTATCACTGCTCGTTTCTACGAGTTGAACAAAGAAATATTATTAAAATAAAAAGGTTAGAGTGAGAAAGTTGCCAATCATATATCACTTTCTCCTTCCCTTGTATGAGATTACTAGAAGTTGTCTTCATTGCACCCATAGACTGTATTGCATACAAGTTTGCACTTATCTGCATAAATAGTAACTAGTAACTATACCTGTCCATCTCTAGCACAAGACGCAATGTGTAAATCACCAGACAAATTTAAGAATTTAGTTTGAAAGACGTTTCCTCGATGTTTCGAATTGTATTTTAACAGTTGCTTGCCAATTTTCCAGTCCCATAAGATAACGGTAAGGTCATCGGAACCGCTAGCTAACAAATGACCTTGCGGGTGAAAATTTAAACTATTTACACAGCCATCGTGCCCTTCCAACTTGTACATTAACTCTAGCCTGTAAAATAGAAAAAGTTTGTGTACTCATTTCGAGCTAATTGCGAAAATATTTTCTAACCTATGTACATTACGTAGCGAGCCGTAACAACGTTTCTGAAACAAATCGGCGGTTTGAAATTTCGAACTGGCGCCTATCTGTCTGTTAACCACTTCCGGTACCATAAACCAACGGTGTTTGGGATACTCTTTCTTCAACACCGCATGGTCTTCATCATCCGAATCGATATCCGTGTCATTTATTACGGTTGAATTCGAGCTCACTTGGCTGAAGGATTCCGATACGTCCAAGTTGACGGAATCTTCTTCGTTCAAAGCCGAATCACCTTCACCGTCGTTAGTATCTTCATCATCGCTAAATAACATTCGATGAACTAAATTTGGGTATTCATCACTAGAAATAATAGTTTAGTATACAAAATAGCATTAGAAATTGGCCAATACCATAAGAGGTGATTAGAGTTAGGTAAGCTTTGTGAAAGATGAAAATTAATCAAATTGAAATGAAATTGAATGAATTGAAAAATTGATCATGCTGCACACAAAATTACAAATCTTGGATGGCATTGGAGGAATGGTAGAAGTCACAATCATTAAATAAATTGTAATTAATTTTATATTGATGTCAGAGGAGAAAGTGTACTGTCACGGATCTATAATTAAAATTAAAACTTCCATGCAATCAGGTAAAATTCCAAATAAAATCTTCACTCAGATAACCAACTAATAATACATCTGGTTTAATTGTTGATTAAAGTGCTGTCTATATTTAAGAATAATTTACCTTCTTTGTGGTTGATTCTCTTCAGATCTGGAGTGATTCCTGTAGTTACGATTTCTCGAGTTTCGTGATTTGGGAAAACCGCTGTCTGTACTTGTACTAGCAGTTTCTTGTTCGGCTTTGTTAGAGGAACTGGAAGATTCCTCTACCGAGCTCCCTGAGTCGCCCTTTGCGTTTAATTTTTTTAAGTTATCAGACTTTGTTGAGTGTGTTTCATCGAGGCATTCGATACCATCTTCTTGAACTGGAGTGATGGAAGAAGTAGAAGCTTCATCTACTGGATCTTCGATTTCGCTATTTTCATCGCTTTTTAACCGCTTTGGATTGTCTGCATTACTTGACTCGTCATCGGACATATTTTCATCCATGGTGCTAGAGAATAAAGTGATATTCTAAAAATATAAATCAACTGCGTATTTAATTGAATAATCGCTAAAGCCAGTAATGAATTTCGTATTGCCAAATACTAAAAATAAAACTGCGGAAAATACCGTATCATTACCTTTTTTTACAATTCCTGCTTCTTCAAAAAATCTGTTTATTTTCTTTTCACTGCTCCTGACATTTGCAGAGCAAATCCAACTAAATTGAACACAAAGCGACGATGCCAAGTTTTTTTAATAATAGCGAATGTCGCGATTTTAGTTAAAAAAAGTTGGAAGCCTTCTTTAATCCGTAAACCTTTTATTGTCTTTTCTTCGGCTACGATTTTATCTTAAACTGTCAGTCAGAAAATATAACTTTATAAAAACTTTATAAAATGTCTTTTATTAAATTTAAAATGGCTATTATTTTAAAAACTGACAATTTTCATCTGACTTGTCACTCTTGTCAGTTGGTTGAACATTACTCTATGAAAAGAAAAAGGACAGAAAAAATTTAATACAAAAAGAAGAAACTAGGTAAAAAATAAGACGTATGACATGTCTCTTGTCAATCAATGTCATTTGTCACTAATTATAACTTAACCTCTAAGAATTATTACATTAATTCAATTCTTAAAATCTGAATAAAACTTAATATTTGTATAGTGTAAAAATTACATAACATAAAAATGACTTTATATCACTTTGGAAATTGCATGGCTTTAATATACTTTCCTTATTACTTAACTTATAAACATTCAGGATTGTAAGTAGCGTAGCTCTAATTATGCTAACGTAGCTTGTAGGTCTTCCTAATTCCTATTCATGCCTGTTGCAGATCTGAGTATGGAGCGTTTTGGAAATGCATTCAAGCTGGCCTAATCTACATGGTCACGCAGTTAGCGAAAATGTTAGTCCTAGCCACATTTTTCCCCGATAATGTTTCTGATTTAGGAAATGATACAATAGGGGTAATACAAGTAGCACATATACAATAAAACATGATCATTTGCGTATTCAATTTTTAGGAATTCTTAAAATCAACGGTTGATTTGGCTGATTTAGCAGGATTGTATCTGGTTCTATCAGGTATTCCCGGAAAGGGACACAGCAAAGTGCTAACAGCAGGAATCGGTTGGGCAGCGGCTGAAGTTGTTCTGTCACGTACTGTACTACTGTGGGTAGGCGCTAGGGGAGCGGAATTTGACTGGATTTACATACAAAAATGCCTGGAATCAAACATATTGCTCGTTCAGCACATAATTACTGCTACATTGGTTTGGCTATGGTCGAGGCATGATTTAAAACAGAACATTCGTTCGGCAGTCAGTATTTTGTTGTTATTAACTTCATACAAGTCTCTTCTATTGGACTTGTTGATTAGCTTTATTGGGGCCAGTATGTGGATGGGACTGCTAATAAAGGCTACTACTACACTAATTTATGGAATGTTCACGCTAGTAATATATGCGGGACTTGCTCAAATTATCGGTATTTTTTAAATAATTAGTTGTTGATTTTTAATGTTTATAATTTATTGATCATTTGATGATTATTTAAGTTGTATGGGGGCTTATTCTATGAATACCTTGAGCAGTGCTCTTTCAACCTATTTTTACATGCAAATATCAATGTAATCAATAAACTCAAATCTAAAAAATGTTCTATGGAATAGGACTCACATATTTTATTTATCCTGTATAAAATATACAGGGTGTCCCAATGAAAAGTAGTCCATTTAAGCTTATGCCATTCAGTGCCATTCAGCTTTTATTAGCCTAATCATAAAAACATGCAGTTTTATAATAAATAAAACTGATACATAAATTATGCATTACCAGTAAAGGGTGTTTTATCAACATCTCTTTTAAATTCCCAGTAATAATTTTTTTAATGGAGCATCCAATAGGTAGAGGTATTGTGAAAGATATACATACTTTTTTAACTTTTCAAAAATGTATTATTTGTTTGTCTGATAAATATTTGACGATGAATTGAAAATAAGGGTTTTTATAAAACACCCTGTACAGGTGATATAAAATGTTTGCGTCACTGTGACGAAGCTATTAGCAAAATAAAATACATCTGCAAAACCGCATGTTTTATAATTGGGCGTTTAAAAATTATAAGCTGATTAAAGGGGCTACTTTTCATTGGGACTCCCTGTAGATTAGTATGTGAATTATATTTACGAATTTACTTTATACAAAATATCATTGAATTTAAGCGATTAATTAGTTAAATTTGAAAGAAATTCAATAAACAAAATTATTTACCAAGTAATATTAGTCTTTTGTAATTATTAAGTCACTACCAGATCTTAAATTTTATTATAAAAAGTAAGTAAAATGTACAGAAAAAAACTACGATTGAGAGTTAAAAAATACAATGTCTTCTGCAGCAATAGAAGTAGTGGTTTTAGAAGTACCATCATCATTTTTAATTTCTCCGTAACTAATCCTGCCAGTGACGAGGACCCGTTGCCCTTTTTTCAAGTAATTCAAAATCGAATCTCGAAGACCAGGCTTGAAACATATTATTTTATGCCATTCTGTTCTTTGCATAAATTCGCCGGATTCATATCTGTAATTTGTGTGAGTGGCCATTGAAAAAACAACTACAGGGCGTTCATCAGATCCTTTTTGTTGAGGATCAGCGCCTACTCTGCCTAACAATTGTACAGAATTTATAGCTGAAAATAGACTATTAGATAAAGTATATTTTGCAAAAATTATACAGGAACTAACTTTTTTCTACTCTAGCCGGTTCTTGCTGTACTGAACTGTTGTTTCGAATTGCGCATAATGCAACCGACGATTTTTGATAATTTGAGCCAGAAAACAATTTTAAACACTAAAAAAGAAGGTAATGAGTTTTATATTACTTTATTATTTTTTTTTATATAATTACCGTGCGACTTAGCATGATTGCGTTTAAACAAAAGAACAAAAAGTACAAGTTAGAAAATCAAATTTGAAGGTTATGTCGTTTCTTCTTTTTTCATTCAAGAATAAAAATTTCTTGTTTAGTCAAAAGATCAATCATAGACTCTACCTAACTTAGTTCTTAGCTACCTTTACTTTAATGTAAGCAAAGGACATATATAAATGTTTGTAAGTAAAAAATACTATTGAAATATTATAAATAGATTATTATAATTTTCAGGACTATTTAATGATGATCATTTTTAAGGTTTTAATTTTTATACAATTATAAATTTAATTTTTAATGTTGGTGGCCATGATTTAATTGTAATCAATGCTGCCAATCAATCAAAAAGTCATTAACAAGTTTGTCAGTCTGTCAGATTGTATTAAATATTTTAGACGGAAAATAAATATTTGTGGTAATTGGCAATTAGTCCGATAAGTAAGTTTTCTTTGGCTATGATTTATGTTATTTAATGAACAGTAAATTGAGTGTTCAAACATTGTCCCAATGCAAAGTTGTGACATTTTTAGTAATATCTTGTGCATCATTTTAAATGTAATCCCATTGCAATCATTTATTAAATGTGTTTACTTAAAAGTCTGCTTTGTTTACGTCTGTTTTATACCTTTATGACTTCAAACAGAATAATATAAACGGTTTTGTTTTTTTTAGGTTGGTGGGAGGAATCCAAGTTAATACCAGATAAATGAATACTATACCCGTGGGCCCGCTGAAAACAACATTAGTAAATATAATTGTTATTTAAAGAAGGCTGCACGTTAGATGCATGGAAATGTTTACAGAATTATATGTTTTGCATGAAAAACACATTTTCAACACAATATGCTACTGTGCACAGGTAACCGCTGCTTTCGTTAAGAGGTGACTATTGTAGATTAGGATCTTTGGTATGGAAACTGATTGACAAAAAAAATAGTTTATTTGAACATATATTTTCACCATTTGATTCAGCATTTCATGTTGAAATACACATGAGTATGATGGTTCACATTTTAATATGATGTTGTGTTTTAAGCATAATAGAAGAAATTGTTTTAATCGATGATAAATTTGTAATTTATAGTGCCTATCACTCACAATAACTACCATTTTCACTTAAAATACTTCTCTATTGTAGTCACTTCCTATATTGTTGCGTAGAATATAGTGATAAAAAGTTTTTAAATTAAAAACAATCACAAACAAATCAGTTCCACAAAGACTAGATTATTTTTTTATTTGATAAAACTTTTTACCTTGACACTAATAATTATTAGTTGTAATATATCCCTATTTTTCTTTTGTAATAACTTTTACTGTGTGATCAATGGTAATTGTTTTTGCTAGAAAATTAGACACTGTAATTACGGCTAAATGAATTGGTATTTTAAAATTACAGACGATTAGCATAATAATAGGAAAAGTTTTCCTTGTATTAAAGCAGATTTTTATATATCTGTATTAGCAGACTACTATAGCGCCATACCTAAAAGAATTTATTATTTAAATTACTTTACATTTGGATTATATACCTTAGCATTATTTAAATAAGAATAATTAAGTAATCTTATCGTACTAAATCACTCTTGTATCATAGGGCGTGAAACACCTCTTTTATTTTAATACACGTCAATTGTAAGAAATTAACATCCTTGTGATGTAGAATATTGCTTTCATAAATGTTTAAATATAAGTTATAAGGTAAGATATTTGTCTTATTAATAACATTATGATTTTAATAATATTTTACACGAACTAATTAACGCAACAGATTATCTAAAATAGTTCACTATTACACATAACTTTGGCATTTCCTTGAAATTTTTCTGTTTGATACCATAAGTAAAGTTGTGCTATTGGAAGAACATAGCATCTTAAGTAAGAAATGTTCGTAATAATTATAAATTCTTAGATGGAAGTGGTATTTAATTGTCATACATAATACATATTAGTTTAAGTTTGTACTAAAAATATGTAGTGTACACGTTCATTGGTGCATTTATTGATTAATAATAAGAGGAATCATTCATTAAACATTCATTTTTCTGTTGTAACCTTTTAACACTTAGATATATTCAACTCATGTCATTTTTCTCATCGGTTTTGTTTGGTTTCTATTTTATTCTTTTCTAGTGTTAGACCCTCACTTATTCATGTTTTCCTGGATTTACATGTATTAATAATCGTTATTCATTCATTAGTAATATGTACTCAGTGATAAGCGATTCTGCTAGGTAAATCATTTTTTATATCACTCTACCTTTAATTAGTTTTTTACCTAACCATTAGCTTAAAATTACTGTAATTGTTTATTTGCGCATTTACATAAGGAAAGAAATTGATTCAGGCCAGATAGTTACATATATTTCCTTGTCAATGTTAAATATTTCGTTTATAAATATCAGAACTAATGGATTCGGTAATATATTGTAACTTTCTCGAATGTATTACGAATTTCGATGCAAAAATGCAAAATTTAGTACATAAATTAAATAACTAACCGATTGACTAAGTTACATACATGCATAATTTATTGGTGATGGTAATTAAATTATTAACTCATGTCGTACCATTTTTCACTGGATGAACTACTAACTAAAAAATATTAAGGCGTTTTTTAAGTTGTTTTCATTTTTACCAATGTTCACTAAAGCAGTTACTATACAAATCGAATTTAAAGGGTAAAAATGGAACTGACGTTTGAAATGTGCATTAGTGAAGTGATTGTATATTTAAAAAGTTTGTGTTACTATGTTCAAATAAAAAAAAGTTGTGTTTGCTTTTGCGACGTAATGCTAACAATTTTAATTTGTTTTAGATCCAATAATGTCTACTTAGTGGATGAATAACACTGTGATTATCTATAAATAATAAAAAAACCCTTTAAACATGACTGCGTTTAGTGATAATTGGAGAAATTCCATACTTAGTCAATTACAAGAAAGGAATAAAAGGGAAACTGACCTATTCCAAGATCTAGTCAATGAACATACAAAAATATTCGAAAGTTACAATACACTGCTTTCCGAAAACATTCAACTTTCAATACAAGTAGAAAAATTACGATGCGAGGGCCGTAGTGGTTTAGGTTCCAATAGTTCTAGTCTAGGCGATATTAGATATCAGGAAAAAATCCAACATCTCGAACAGAAGCTGCTCAATCAAGCCGAGGAACTCACCGAACTGCACCGAAGGAAGGGCGAGAACGCGCAACAGCTGATAGATTTGAACGCTTTAGCCCAAGAAAAAGACAAAATCATTGCTTCCAAAGACGTGATACTGGCGGATAACGCGGCGAAAATTTGCTCACTTCAAGCCGAAATATCCATGTTGCAGAAATTCAAAAGCGAACTGCAGTACCTGAACGACACGCTGCGCGACGAGCACCAAGCCTTGCAGCTGCTATTTACCTCTTTAGAGGACAAACTGCGGGACGCCCAAAAGGAGAATCGAGACCTCACCGAACGTTTCGTCAAATACAAAGCTAAAGATGCCGATCGCATGAACGAAGAAAACGACAATTTCCTCAAAAAGCGCTACGCCAAGATGCAAAAGGAAATCGAAGAGGCCTGCAAGGAAACGAAAGGCTCCCTGGAAGAGCTCACCGAAGGCTACGGACCTCTATGCACCTCATCTCTTCCTACTAAAATGAACATCAAATTCGACGCACACGAAGGAGAAGTCAGCGCTGTCAAGTGGAGCCCTCTCGAAAGGCTCCTAGCAACGGGCGGGGCCGACAGAAAATTGAAATTATGGGAAATATCCAAAGGAAATTTCGAAAGCAGAGGCACCCTGGTCGGAAGCAACGCCGGCGTAATGGCGATAGATTTCGACACGTCAGGATCTTTAATACTAGGAGCTTCCAACGATTACGCGACCAGAGTATGGACAATAAGCGATCAACGATTGAGGCACACGCTGACCGGCCATTCCGGCAAAGTCATGGCCGCCAAGTTCCTGGGCGAGGCCTCGAAAGTCGTCACCGGCAGCCACGATCGCACCCTGAAGATTTGGGACCTGCGTAGTCGGGCTTGCATCGAAACGAAATTCGCCGGTTCGAGTTGCAACGATTTAGTCACCGTGGACAGCGCGGGCTCGATCATAATAAGCGGACACTTCGACAAGAGCATCCGGTTTTGGGACAGCCGATCGGAGTCTAGCGCCAACAACGTCGTCCTGAACGGGAAGGTGACGTCGCTCGATCTGACCAGAGACGCCAAGTACTTGGTTTGTTGCGTGAGAGACGATACGCTGAAGCTGTTGGACCTTCGGATGAACCAGGTGGTTACGCTGTTCACTAGCGACGGGTTTAAGGTCGGGTGCGATTATTCGCGGGCGACTTTCAGCCCCGACGGGCAGTATGTGTCCGTCGGATCGGCGGACGGTAGCGTGTACATTTGGGGCATCAACACTGCGAAAGTTGAGACTATTCTGAAAGAGCATAATAATGCGGTGACTGCTACTTCTTGGCATCCGTTTGGGAGTTATTTATCCAGCGTGGACCGTTCTAGGAAAGTGGTCACATGGAGTGATATTTAATTTAGTCAGTTGGATTCGCGTATAATAAGATTTTCCAAAGATACTGAACTTTTTGCTGCGTTTTAACGATTTATTGGCAGTTGTGCGCAAATACAATAAAGTTAAGAACCTTTATATTGGAACAAACATAAAAATATTTTCTCTGGGCGTTGTTGAATATGCTACGTTATTATTTTTGTTTGAATTATTATGATTTTATTATTGTCATGGAATGAAATTTCCTGTTAATTTGCTATTTTACATATTCATTTTGATTACGCTTAAATTTAATTGAATAGTATAAAACCTACATATTTTTGAAATCAATGTTTTATCTTCTTTGTGGAATTCTAAGACAATCTGTTTAAGTTATTGCAATAAAATTAATCGCTAAATTTAAACTGCATTGTCGCAGTGTAGCCATTAAAGAAAAGTACTTTTAAAATTTCCCTATAGTTATTGGCCAAATATTTTTTAAATATTTAAACGTAGACAAGTAATGTATTTTTGCTAATTTCTTTAAATAATTTTATATGGATAATGACTGGATTGTTACTTAGCAAGACCCTTTTTAATTTTTTCATTTGGTTGATATTATGTTAATAGATTAGCAAAGGAATATTCCTGAATCTTGTTTTTGTTTCTTATCCTTTTTTCTATTAAATGAGAAACCCACTTTATTTTATTATCAAATATTTTATTTTTCATTAATGTTATAAGTTTATTTTTGTTTCTTAGCATAAATTTGTTTTTGGAAATTAATTCTTATTTAAGTTATCTTTCCCGTGCCTAATCATATTGATACTTTATAACTCTGTAAATTTGAATTAGTTGTTTTATATAGCTTATTTATTTTGACAATTGAAACGTAACATTTTGCCATTCGAAATAGTTTTTATAGACGTATATTTTGTTGTTGGAATCTTTTGTTTTATAATAGTTTATTTATCATAAGAAGTTAATTTCTCGTGTTAGATGAATCGGTTCTGTATATATTTGTACAATACATTCGAGTTTTTATGAGATTAAATACTGTAAATAAATCAAATTTGGCCATCATTGTACTTTTAGTAAAATGTTTTATAAATTTGTTTAATATGATCTTGAACGCTTTTAAAATGTAATCATTTGTGAATATTAATTACGTACAGTGTTATTTGAATCTATTACTCGTTTGAATAAATTCTTTTGTAAAAATTGTGTTTCCTCATTAATTCAAAGGACTCGATCCTGCTCGACTGGTGAGAATATAAATAAGAAAGATTAGCATTAATATCTAAGCACTTGTGTAGCCATACATTATGTATTATGTATGTAATAGTTAGATTTACCTTTATTAATTGATTAAACCTCCAATGTTTTCGATACTGAAAAGGTACAGGACATAGGAGAGCGAACTGTTTTCGAGGAAAATTACGTTTTATGACCAAAAAGCATTAAATGATTATAAAAATTGCTTGGTACGTAAATAAAATTTGGTTTAAAAACGATAATTTTTTCCATGTTGTCCTCATAAAATGCAATTTTCGAAATAAATAGGTCATGACAGAGTTTTTGACCTAGTGAATTTTACGACACTTGCACATTGAGAAATTATTTTATTTATTTGGTGGAGTAGAAATGTGATATTTTTGTAGAATTTGATAAATTTGTAAATATTGCATGCATTCCTTAATGGCTGTAATGATTCTTCTCTATCGCAAACTAAATTGGTGATAAAAATATAAGTGAAAATTTCTTTTACCTATTCAAAGGGGGCGATATTTCTGTGGTGATTATTTTGTATTTTTTTAAGGAATTTTTTTGCGGAATGTATAATATTGGGCTTGCTGAAAAATAATTACACCTATGTACAGTTGTTCAATTTTTTTAACCGAATATGAAGATCATTTATTGTTTTTTTTTTGTTTTATTTTCTTAACTTTTCACTGACCTTATAACTTTATAATCGCCTTGCGTATGTCACAATTCAGATTCAAATACCTACGTTATCTCTAAACATTTCTGCAATTTATAACGATCCTTACATACGGGGTAATGCAATTAAATCATAACAAATATTTTGAAAATTCTTGTAATATTTAATTATCTAATTAAAATTGTGGAATATTTTCGCAAGTGCAACGGACGATAAAAAAATCAAATAAACGTTGAACACATTTGACCTCAAACGCATTTTTGATCTCCAGATTGTTGTACACATGTTTTTGTGGGAAATGTCCATACAAGAATTTTTCATTCCAAAGCAAATCTGAAAGTGGCCATCAGGATTTTAGATTTTTATGTATACCCACATATTCAGCAGCATCTTTTTTAATGACCGAATTGAAAAATAAAATAAATGACTACTATAGTTCATATTTGAAATTATTAAACCAAACAGTTCAATGAATGCAAATGAATTTAATTAACTATTAACTAGGAAATAAGGACTTGTCAAGTAAAAAATTTAAGATTATTATTATTATCTATAAACAATTTAAAATCAGGTTATTTATTTTACTATTGGTCTAACCGTCCTAAATAGGTACTTCTATTTTATTCTATCTCAGTTATCCTTAAACATTAAGTAGATAATATAGTTCTACAAAGGCGTGAATTAATCATCACCTAACTTTGTTTAAATTTCGTTCAGTTTGTTGATAACGATGCATTAGTGCGTAAAGTGCGGCTTTTAATGTGCACACAAACTTTTGAACTTTAAAAACAATTACAGGAAAAAATATATATCACCGGCCCACATGTATAACTCGATGTTCTTTTATCTCATTACTTAATACCGAACGTTTAAATTTAATGTTTATTTAAATTCTTTAATCGGCGCTTCACATATCGGGTTGTTCATATAATTTTTTGATATACATAGACGCACATTTTAAAGCTATCGTTTCATTTGTCAACTATTGTGTGAAGCATGAAGGAAAGATACGGTTCAATTTGTATAGCCCCCGCAATTGTAAGTAAATATTTTGATTTATTTTAATTAACTAAATGTTACTATTGAGATTATTCAGAAAGGGTTATATTCGATTTTAAATCGTTGCTAGGTTATAACTAAAAATATTTATGCCAACCCTTGCGGTTACCAAAATAACATAAAATGTATTATTTGTATTTTGATTATATCAATTATTGCAAATGATATTGATTGATTCATTAAATACAGGTGTTAGATGAATTAAAAGCGAATAGTAAATTTGAATCCTCTTATTTAAATGACTTATTTATCTTAATACGAAATTATCGTAAAATATTGTAACAAAAAAAATAATTTGATTGTTATATGTTATAATTAATATAAATTCATACAAGATTCTCTAATTTGCTTTCATAACACTGCTTTTAAGTAAATTTAATCTTAAATTATTTAACTATATATGTATAAATAAAGTTGCTATCATAAAACATGCAAATAATTTTAAAGTGCACCTATAGATATGCGAAAAAAAAAATTTGAAAAGTGGATCCTCCTATACATCCTTGTATAAAAAACAACTGGTACCACCTAAGAAGTGGCACATTCCAATCTATTTTATTATTATTTTTAAAATATTATTGCCGATGATAATTGTTGCTATGGAGTTTTTCTTCATAACGTGGCATTTATTAGTCGAAGACAAAATAAATGACAGCGGAACTTTTTGAAATAAACTACAGATAACAAATGTGAAATCATAATAAATTATTCTACGCTAATTGGAAATTAAACTTTCCTTTCTAAATTTTTTTACAACGATTCTCAAACAGCTAAGGCCGCTTTTGTAATTTACACCACATTTTGTTTGTATAAAGACTATAAAGTACGCTATTTTCAAAATTTGACTTTTCATGGTGTAAGATGGTGTTTTGTACCTGTACAGGAGATAGTTTTGGAAATTTTGGCAAATATAAAATAGAGAATTTTAAAAACACAACGAACTGCTACTAAATAAGATCACAATAAACAGGAAACCCATAATGTGGGGTGTCAAGTTTTATATTACACATATTGTACCTTATTAAATTTATGTGAAACTCTAGAAACAATATACATAATATGTATGTACATACATACGAAGAAATACTAAAAATAGAATTAGGTGCATTTTTAAGATGTATGTATATTTGGAACATTTGCATTCTGCTAGGTACCATCATTCAATTCCTTAATGTTTGGTTAACATATTAATAATAGGATTTTTTCGGTGGCATAGATTCGTAGCGTAAACATTGATACTAACTAAACTAATCAAGTTTCGGTAATTTTCCCCTACGATAAGAAAGAATAATCATCATCTGTTGTATTTCTGTTTTCATTTTATTACTGATAGATTGCGTTTATCAAATTAAAAACGCATAAGTATGAATTATGCCGTCATTGGAATGCGGTATTCGAAAATGTTTTATTTTAATTTGACCGCCGTTTTTTTAAGCGAGGGAGTAATTTAATTCGATTTTAAAATGTATTAAATAGAGATATCTCGTAAAGCAAATGCTCCGAAACAGTTAATAACACTAAACATAATGATTTTACACTTTCTAATACACAAGGTATGCACTAGCACAAAAATCTTATTCAGATAGCAGTTACTCTCGAATTCTTATTGTCTAAATCATATATTTTTTACGTTCTACTCGTACATTACATTATGTTTACCATTAATAATTCATTTGGTCGAAATTTCATTTTATCACAACCTGGAATTAATAGATTAGTGCTTTACTGATAATCGCATATTGCAAGGTATATTTTATCGCATTTACACAATCGCATGAGAAAAAAAGTGATAGGGCAAAATGAAAAGAGGCAGGTCGCAGGATTCATTGTTGAAATTTAATTATAAATTTTGGGTAAGTGCGATTTATTAATAGTTTTCTACGATGTTTTTTAATCGACAATGAGTTTACCTAGTAAGTACAATATGAAAATTATTGATTGGCATTATGTGCTTACGGTAAATTAATTTGTATGAAGATATGGTGAGTACTATATCTATGAATTTTAATGACGCACTCACAAACAATAACAATTTTCCATTATCACACCCTCTTGTAACTTATGGAAAATAACTTAAACCGAGATTTTAATAAATTGATTGTTGTATGTATTTTTTTTAATTAGTCAAGCCAAATTATCACAAATAAGTAATTGATTAGCATCGATATAATTAAATAGATAGATAAAAATGGAATAGAATAATACACAGTGACAAAAAAGTACCCGGAATATTGGAAGAAAACGCAAAATTCCTTATCATCTTTAATTTTTCTTGAATCTACTTCAAAATATGCTCACTTTGAAGCGATACACATAGTCAGATGTCTTTTCCAATCATCAAAGAATTTTTATAGGTCCTTCTTGGTACGGTTTTTTGCGAATTTTTTTTGATGGCATTTATGAAGTCAAAACGGGGTCCCAGAAATGGCAATTTGAGTAAGGCGACTGCGACTGGTTGGTGGTACTTCATACGAACCAGCATGTATGCAGCGACCAGTTGATGATATCGTTTTAGCTCTATATCGGAACGAGCTAAGCCTCAATGAGCAGCATGTCTGATTGGTTGAGCAAAATGAAACGAGCGGTTATACGAAAGACGTTGAAGTCAAGTGCTATTTCTCTAAAACTAGCATGATGATTTTCGAACTCTTAATTTTCTCGCTATTATCATTGGTTGAAGAGGTCGAAGACCGTCCGGATCAAGGCAAGTCTTTAGCGATCTCTCAACTGTCTTGTTTTGTACCATTCGTAAATATGGGTTTTCGATAAAACGAAGTCACATTAGTCAAATAGTTAAAAATATTAAGTGCGCGGGTAATTTAAATCAGAAATTCCGGATACTTTTTAGTCAATAAAAAAAGCCAATCTGATTGAAAAAATTCGAAATTATACAAAAATGCAATTTTACGTTTTTCTTAATGCAAATGTAAACATTATGTATATTTCTATAAGTTCTGCAGATAGGTAATAAGCATGAATTTCCAACACTAAAATAAAAATAAAAACTATAGCACTAAATTCTATATTGAATTGCCTTTTGCAGGAGACCAGGCCGAAAACGTCTGCGTCGAAAACCGAGGAAAAGCAGCATCTCCTCGAAAGCGACTACCAACCGGAGATGACGACCTCCATCAACGTAGAAGCTTCGACGGACCTCGATAACTCGGTATTCAACCGGTCCCTCGAACATCCCACGTCGAACTTCGATACCTTGGTGCATCTGCTGAAGGCGAACATCGGCACCGGAATCCTCGCTATGCCGGACGCATTCCGAAACTCCGGATGGCTGGTGGGCTTGTTCGGCACCCTGTTCATGGGCATAGTTTGCACCCATTGCATGCACATGCTGGTAGGGTGCGCGCGTGAACTCTGCCGGCGGACGAAGAAGCAGTCGCTCAGTTTTTCTGAAGTCGTCGAAGCCTCTTTCGAAACAGGACCTTCCTTTTTGCAAAGCCGTTCACATACTGCCAAGTAAGTTCGTTTAAATGTGTCTGGCATATCCATAACATAATAGTCTTGATGAAATCCTAACATGTGAATTCAAGATGGGAAGACAGAGATAATCCGTTTAAGATCAAATGAAAAATCTTAAGTCAAACTAGATATGTTCAGATGAACTATTGTAAAAGAATTTCGGGATAGGTCAGTGGTCTAAACCCTCGTTCTGATTCAAGTTTTGTTTTGCATCAATATCAAAGAAGTTCATGGGAAATTCATTGTTGATCCAGCAACAGGTCATCCTATGATTGTGACTCTATTCATGAAACACCCTAAATAAATATAATTATGTATTTTTTTGCTAATAACAATAGTTTATAAGGTTTTGTGCAAAAAATTTAGCTACTGTCTAGAACCATTAAGAACGCTCCGGAGTCATTTAGAATGCTCTAAAACCATTTAGAACTGCTTAGAACTATTTAGACCGATCTAGAATCATATAGAAGTGTCTAGAACCATTTGGAATGCTCCAGAATCATTTAGACCTGACTAGAACCATTTTTAACGTTTTAGAATCATTTAGAACTGTCTATAGAACCATTTAGAACCCTTCAGAACCATTTAAAATGGACATGTTGGACAAATTAAAGAAACTAGACGTGCTAAAAACAGTGCAAAATTTGTAAACTAAGTCTCTCTTTCCAGAACATTAGTGAACATTTTCCTGTGCATAACCCAATTGGGATTCTGTTGCGTGTACTTCGTTTTCGTGGCCGCCAATCTGCACGACGTGGTTCAACATTACTTTTTCGACATGAGCGTCCACTGGTACCTCCTTCTGCTCCTGTTCCCGATGGTGCTGCTGAACTGGGTGAAGAGCCTCAAGTACTTGACGCCCGCCTCTCTGTTCGCGTCGATTGTGACGGTAAGCGGTCTTGTCATAACGTTCGTCTACATGTTCAAGGAGGGCGTACCGAGTACCATGAATGTGAAGGAGTTCTCCTCTTGGAATCAGCTCCCATTGTTTTTCGGTACGGCGATTTACGCTTTCGAAGGAATCGGTGTGGTGAGTAACGTGCTTAAAATTTGCAATAAGGTTGCATTATAATTTTCGCTTTAGGTGTTACCGTTGGAGAATAATATGAAGAACCCTCAGGATTTCGGTGGTTGGACGGGCGTTTTGAACACCGCCATGATTATTGTATCGGTTTTATACACGGCTGTTGGGTTTTTTGGATACTTGAAATACGGCGAGAAAGCTGTTTTGGGAAGTGTTACACTTTTGCTACCATCGGATGAATTGTAAGTATTGCTTTTCTGGTTAATTCACATGTATTAAAACGCATTTTTTATGTTGCAGTTTAGCACAATCCGTTCGCTTGTTGATGGCTAGTGCGATTTTTCTTTCGTACAGCCTGCAGTTCTACGTTCCTTTCAATATCATGTGGCCGTGTATAAGTAAATATTTCAACAATGAAAAATCCAGAGAAACCGCAGAATATGTTACCAGAACAGTATTAGTATTTATTACGTTTATATTTGCAATTGCTATTCCTAATTTAGGTGCCGTGATATCTCTAGTCGGAGCCTTCAGCAGTTCGGCACTCGCCCTAATTTTTCCTCCTCTGATCGAAATCATAACGTTTTGGCCCGACAAATTAGGCACCAGCAAATGGATTTTATGGAAAGATATATTTATAATCGCCTTCGGATTTGTTGGTTTTGTCGTGGGTTCTTATGTTAGTTTGTTAAACATTATTGCACCAAGCGAACCAATGTAAAGTGATTTTATCCATGTCAGAAACAGACAATAACTTTTCGACAATAATTTGTAGTCTTGAAGACAATAAGTACTTAAATTTATGTAAAGTAAGTGCTTCGTGTTTTGTTTCATTTGGTGTATAATTAAATGAACCTTTTCACTTAATGGTATGCAGTGAAATTTGTACAATAATTAGATTTTTTTTAAACAAACTTTTTTAAAATCGCTAAATCCGAATAAATTAGATAGGCTTGGTATCCAAATGCTTTTAAAGCATCCACTTTTCAGAATTTTGTTTTAGTACCCGAAAAATATTTAAATTGTTATTTCATGAAAAAAAAAATAGAACTATTCCTATTTAAAGTTTCGTAATATGTCAATTAGGTTAGTATTTTTTTACCGAATATTTTAATTTTTTTACCGAAAGATGCATTTTTTATCGTGATATTTAAATGGCTTTCATTGTGATAAACCAGGAAACTCTTATATCTGCATTTTAAACATGCGTTATTAACTACTTCAATTATTATAGTAAAAAAATATTTAAAAATTTTAAAAGTTTCTCTCATTTTTGTGGTGATAAATCGTATATTTTCAGTGTGATAACTCTATTTATTGTTAACTGTGTAGCGTTCCGCTTAAATTTAAAAAGTTTAATGTTCTGTTAGAACGTTTGTTTGTTGTAGATATTGTATATTTTATAAGATAACCGTGTATATTTTTTAATATTTATTTTCTCTAGATTTAATATCGAGAATAATAAATGTGCAATGTTGCTAATTTAAAATTTTTCTTGCGATTTTTTTAATGCCTTATATAACATCCGCATAACTACATCATACTAAATTAATAATACAGAAATTGGTTAATTAGAGTCAATTTATTTACATATCAATTCTTCAACAAATTGAAATAGTTTTATTGAATGGTCAACTTAAAATTTTATCCTAAAAATATTTCTCAGTATAAAATTCAACCATTAAAAACTTTTACTACGCTTCTAACATACAAATGGAAATTATGTAAACCCAATCTGTTAAATGTTCCTATACTGCGTTCCTAACATATAAATTGAAATAAGAAAAACCCAAAAGAATCGACAGGTTATAAAATATTTCATGTTGGACAAATGCCGCCCTTGCTGATGCGATAAACATTATAAATTACTTCTGATAAGAGCAAGGACCCGTTTCATAAATATGAAAACTCTTTTCAGGTTTAGGAAATGAACTTGTATGATTTATAGGACTCTTGACAAGTCATTGTAATTTGTTTTATGTAAAAATGGAAATGTAATTGGTAATATTTAAAAAATGCGTAGTTTAATTCAAATAACAAAAAAATAGTTATACTATGACAAACCAAAACGAGTAAATCTAGTGAAAATCAAATGAAAATTGTCCATAAAACAAAAATAGCATATCATTGCTTCTTAAAACTTTTTAAAATTGGATAAATATTATCAAATGCTTCGTAAATTTCCTGTCTAACTTTAGCACCAGTCAGAACAACCTTGCCGGAAACAAATATTAACAGAACAATTCTTGGTTTCACCATACGATATATAAGACCAGGAAACAATTCCGGCTCGTAACTACTGAAAGAACTGTGAGTTAAAACCAAACCTTCCAATCGTATCGGAAATTTAACATCACAACTTCCCACCATATTCTGTATTTTAAAATCTAAAAACTTCGCAGGGAACCCCAACTTTTGTATAATTCGAGCGTACTTTCTCGCCGCTAGTCTCGAGTCTTCTTCACTTTTCGCACCTGTACACACCATTTTCCCCGACGAAAATATCAAAGCCGTCGTCCTCGGTTCCCTTATCCTCATAATTACGGCAGCAAATCGCTTCGGATTGTATTCGGCATTTCTCGCGTGCAAGGCAATTTTCTTTAAATCTAATTTACAGCTCAAGTTTACAGTTGAGACGATGTTTCTGTAAAGGAAAAGTGAAGAAGCTTGTGTTAGCGTTTCAAATAGTGCTATTTGACTTACTGTAATTGTGGAACGATTCCGGGATCTGCTGAATGCGGTGTCATAGGAGTCATTGGTGAAGGTGTAGAGGGACCCAATGTAGGGGTTACACCAGCACTAGTGGTACCAGTTCCACCTACGTTTACCATAGGACTCATCATTGTATGTTGCTAGAAATACAAAATATGCGTTAAGTATGCTTCACAATGCTCTTGCGAAAGATTAATTAATTATTTTTTACTCACTGGTGTTTGAGGAGCCATAGAACTGATAGGCAGTGAAAATCCAGTTACATACTTTGTATGTGGCATAGACATAGCATGGCCTAAACCTAGACCAAGCGTTGGAGTAGAACCTCCCATTGGAGCTAGAGGAGGCACTTGTGAGTTAGTAGTAGGTAGACTTTGTTGTTGTTGTATGGCGTTCGGTAAAATTAGCTGGTCTTCCTCGGGTTGATGAAGAGGTGTACCTGCAGCAAAGAACAATTGTTTTTCTGATACATAAAAAATTTAATTCGAATATTACCTATACTAGGTATACTAAAACCAGGGCTCGGTAGCATTTGATCCATTTTGAAAGTGTTTTTCACTAAGCTTGGTATTTATATTGAAATAACTTCAGCTAATTTAAATGTTGAACATAATCACCATTACCACAACGAAAACTTATAACTGACTAATGCAAGGCACTGAAGCAATTAAACGACTTAAACATAACTGAAGTTATTTAGATTTATTAAATTTAACTGTGTTTTTCTTTCGGTTCTCAATTATTATTTTAGTCGTTATCATGTTATCATTTCGTTTTTGACGTTGGCTTGACATTGACAGTTATTAGTGTTTTAGTTCATAAATTTTCCGTTTTACGATTGGCTATCATGATTTCACAAATGTCATTTCGTCCGTTTAATTTTCATACAAAAGGAAATAATGTAAAATTTTTAATTACACTGTTTGAACGATACAAGCAATTTGTTAATTTCTGATTGCAATTATATCATTAACAGAGCAATTAAATCGTTCTATATGTTGTTACGAAACCAATTATTGAACATTTTTGTCTAATGTTTGTTTCTAAGGTGTGCCTAAAATCTAGTAATTTTTACGTTACTTTTGACGTTTGACAGAAGAGACTTCAATCTTCGGCGCTCGGCGTGGTTGTTGATGTTGTTGATTCAGGTTTTTTACAAAAATAGTAATGTTTAGGTGAAAAAAACTCAGTTTGTATCAGTGCGATATATTAAAAACTATAAATTAACCATGTATTGCCTACTTTGTCGAGAAAGCAGTAAACTAATTTCTATAAATAGTCCCTACGGACATAATAATCACAAAATTGGAGACTATTTTATCGAAATGTATGGGGAAAAGGTATTTAAACATTTTATTTTCCATTGTTTTGCATTAACGTATTTAATGTTTCAGGTTAAACACTGCTTAACATCTGATAGTTGCGTTTGTAATGTATGTTTAAACATCTTAGAAAACGTAGTTAAAGTATTGAAACTTATTTGGAATGTAATATCTCATCCAGACAATCCGGCATATTTATATTCAAACTCGACTAAACTGAGCAGATTTTTGAAAACAATTGCGTCTTTGAGATTAGAAGACGACGACATAACCGATGAACCGGAGGATAGCATTTCGACAAATGATTTGGTTATCAACAGTTATTGTACACCTTATCACGAACATTTGGAAATGATAAATCAAGAAAAGGAGAGATTGAAAAGTTTAAGTAAGTCAGGTATTAAATAAAATGGTTTATTTCGATAAACTGCATACAATTACAGATTAAGCCACTGGTTTATAGTATTTACATAATGCTCCAATGGTTATTATGTAACATACAGTTAATAAACAACCAAGAATAAGACGTTGTTATGTAAATCTATGTTATTTATATATTCAGCTCAAATTGCAGCTATCGATGCAATAACAAATTTTCGCGCCTTTTTGTTTCTGTATTCGATTATATTAGAAATATCTTACATTTTAAATTGTTTTAGGTGCTACTAATTTTACTAAGTCTACAAGACATCCCGAAAGTGCCGTTTGTAGCGACGATGAAAACAACCGTGAAAATAATTTGAGCAGGCTGTCCAGATCAGATACACCCTATAGTGAAATTTCTAGGTACACCAAAAGGTGAGACTCTAGATTTGTTATTAAATCGTGTTGATTCAAATAATCCATCGACTGTGCATCAAGTTGGTCTATGTTACATTTTTATTATCAAATCTTTGTATACTTGGGCAAAGTTAGATAAATGATTAAACTTTATAAATTGCATAATGCGGGAAGGATAGAATAGGTTTCTCATGACATAATAGGTACCCAAGAAACCTACCCTAGCCTTCCCTACCCATGTTTATGTGGGTATTTAACAGTTTACCTTGGCAAACCTAAGTTTAGTCGTTTATCTAACTTTACCCGTAAGGTATACAGTATGTAAACTTGAGAGCCCTTAACAAATTTAATGAGAGGGAATAGCATATAGAAAAAGCCACTTCCCACAAAGTTAATAGGGGGAGACATTTGAAAAGAATTATTATAATATCTGCTATTTATTTCTGCTTTTGCTTAGCTAATGAATTTGTATGTGGTATCCCATAGCTCCCGGGTTTACATATTGTTTATTGAACCACACATTAGACCTTTTGTATGTAACCAACTACAGTTCTAATTTTGCTTAAGCCAATGTTTGCTTGACAGAAGCCATAACGTAAACATATCGGTGCAACGTAGACCATCGTCCAGTGACGAGAGCGATGATGATAGTGGTGGCGAGATCAATCGTGAAATTCATAATTTGAGCAGGCTGTCCAGGTTAGAAACGTGTACCCCTCGTAGTGAAGCTACTTGTTACACCACAAGGTAAGATTCAAGATCTTTGGAGAAATCTGTGTTGATTCATTAACCTATTGATTGTGCATCCAGCTCATTAATGTTATGTTTTTGTTATCAAACAATGTGATATCAATTGACGATTAAAATGACCTGTAATTATTTAACTGTTTGAGCTTGATTTTTTAACGTTACCAAATAAGTCGATAACTAATTTTCTTCTTGTCAATGGCTCTGCACATATCAGTTCATATACATATCAGTTAATTTATCTAATTTCGTTAAATTTTTTTGTAGAGCTTCGACAAGTAAATCGAGGGCAGAAGAAGAAAAATATCACAACCTTTTTTATTGTCAAGTACTTAATTGTAATATGTATAGTACTACTGTTGAGAACTTGAATTCCCATAACATTGCCCAGCATGGAATGTTTAACGAATACAATTGCATTGTTTGTCCACTTGCCTATACAACATAGTAAGTACAGTAAAGGGCGATTTCTTTGCCTTCAATAACTTATGCATAAATTAATAATTGTTCCTTCAACGTTAACCACTGCTTATCGATTACTCTATCTACATGTGGTACAAATGAATATTTATAAGTATATTTTATTTTTTAGCCAACTTCTTAATAATCACATTTTCGATCGTCATTTGTTCTGCACCGAATGCCTCCAAAAAAAGAAAATGCGCATAGTACATTTTAACAACATCGAGGAATTGAATGAACATTTGAGAAAAAGACACAAAAAGCCCAAAGTAATTCAATGTCACGACTGCGGAAACAAATACACTACCGAGTAAGTCGATAAAATTTGTAAGCAATTTCTTCGATGTTATAACTCGACTAATTCCGCAGATATGTTGAGAGTCTACATAAAATGAAATGTCACATGTTCACGGTGTTTTGCCTATTTTGCGGTAAGAGCCATCAACACGCCACGGAATTACAGAAGCATATCGACCAACATATGATGCATTCAATAGAATGCGGCTACTGCGACAAGTCGTTTTTAAGTTCGGGCGCGAAGGAAGAACACGTCTTTAAAATGCACAAAGGCAAGAAAAAGATGAAAATTTATAACGATAGCTTAATCTTGGACCAAAAAAGTTACGACGATGAAAACAGTGAGGAATTAAATTACAATAAAGAAGAAAAACATTATGAAGCAAGGTATGTTTAATCATTTTATATGTGCCACGAAAGGTATTTAAATAAACTACACTTGTTAGGTAATAACGGTTTTCTTTAAATTACAACAGTTTTGATTTTTTTAGGTATTTGGTTCAATGCGGTTTAGATATGACTATTGAAAATTTGAAGATTCAAAATCTCCCTGTTTATACGAGCGAGGGTACCGGTCTTATTTTGGAAGGGTTTTCTGAAGAATGTAGAGAATCTGATTTAGTATCAGAACCAATAAGTGAAATAGAACTCGGTGATATCCAAAATGAATGTACTGTTGAAAACGATTTGATTGAAGTCCACAACAACGAGTTGGATGTAAATACACTTATTGAAGAAACGTAGCATATGGATGAAGATTTTCTAGACGTTATTAATACCGTTTTAAATTTACCTTAGTTGTTACTATAACTGATCTATTTTGTTTATAATTTATACAGGCGTCCGAAAGTCAAATGAATTTACTTTTCATCGAGTAAAGAGTAAAGTATTTCGTCTGATGTAAATGTGAACAGTATAGAAACCCGATTGAAGTAGTTTTCTGTTTCCAAAGAAGCTAGTTAAATATTTTTATAAATTTGAGAAGAAAACGTACTAATGTAGTATTTGCAGGACCAGTGAAGCCTTTTCTTAACATCCATTAAAAATAATTTAAAAAATTTGTTACATAATTAAATCAAGAATTAACGGTTGAATTAATGCTTGATTGAAATATGTAATGGGGTTTCTATATTTACTACGTGCTTTTAACGCAAAATTAATCGTAAAATTAAATTTAAATATCGGCAAGTTTGTCATTCGTTTGTTAAATTACGTACGCTTTTTATTTGTATTACTTAATTGAAAAGTAATTTGAAATTTTATTCAGTTAAATGATTTCTAGAAAGTTAATTTATTAATCGGAAAATGAGATTTTACCAAAAACTGATTTGAATACCAAAGATTTTCCTTTCGATAGACTTAAGAGTCACAAAAATGAAAGGTAAATTTACTTGACGTTCTGACCAAAATAATTTTTGAGCGACTTTTGTAAATGTTTGCCAGAATTGGATCTTTATTTTATCCGGTGATGAAATTGCCAGTTTTTTAAACGTTTAATTTCGATTCTCTATATGAATTTCAACTTGATTTAACCAACAGAACTGTACGTGATTAGAATGGGCAATAAATTTAAAAATACTACAATTTCTTTTTCTGTTATGTGTAGGTCTGTTGTTAAAATACAATTGGTTACATTGGCAATCTTCTAAGTGATTTTTGAATCAACAGTTTTCACGCATTGTACCTGTAAAATGTAGACGTAATAAGATAATTTCAACATGTAAATATTGTAAAAAGTTTTTCTAGAAAATAAATGAAATATAGGTGTTTTAAACCGTTAACTTGATTATTTATCCACATTCATTCATACAACTCTATTATACAGGGTATTCCTAAACATCATGCACATACGAAAGAGGGGTAATTCCTCGACTTATTTCATTGAGATATGTGTATACATGTATAGATTTGAGCTAACTATTCATAAAAATAAATTAAAATCAACGTTTATAATTTATACTAAAAAGAACAATAGAGGGAAAGACCACAACTTTCTAGATACTCGGAAACGTTATTTGTAGTTCGTCATAGTGCACTTCCAACTTTAAATGCGCCCACGACAACCTGTAATTCCTTTCTTTTGTTGCTTTCAATCCCGACCCAGGTGCACGTTATTTGTTTGAGCTTGGAATCGTGGCTTCTTGTTCAACATCACCTCAGTGGTGCACTGCAGTCTCCTTGCAAATTACTGGAAAATGCAGAATGCTGGAGGAGTTGAAAATATGATTTAGCCATTGCATGAAGTTGCACACTGAGAAGTTAGAAGGCTCTGAAGAATTATTTTAAATAAAAAAAAGTAGTGACTTGATAAAGAATTTTGCAATTTTAAAACCAAATAAGGTATACTTGTTGGGGCCACTAAATCAAAATATAACAGATTTTTTACCACAATTTTTCCATTTAGCAGGAAGATTTTTACCATTCCAGGTTAAATTAAAAGTTTACGCCAACCTGAATCAAGCTTGATCGTAAAAAATGTCATGTAACGTCCATGCGTTTAGAAATGCATTTCCTATTTCTATTTACCGAATAGAACTCATTCAAATTCGAAATCCCGCTCATTTGTCCTCGACTCTCAGTCCCGTTTCTACTGAACCCGCCCGAACTGTTTATCTAAAATTTGCTAAACGGCTTTCCCGAAATTTGTCTTTTAGATTTCCTCTCATTCACAGATTCCTCTCATTCAAAAAATATTAGGAATTTTGCGTTTTATTCCAATTGTCCGGGTACTTTCTTGGTTACTGTGATGTACTCTTAAAAAATTAAAATGCTTGTATTTAAGAAATAAACTATTCAATTATATGATCAATGTGATATAGAATGCACGGTTGAATTCGATTACTGACCAGGGCGATTTTATTTAAAGCAAAATCAAACACGGTGTGGCTATTAAGCGCTGACGGGATTTCCTGAAAAACAAAGGATTAGACCTGAATCACGATTCTGGATGTGTGTGCTCCCTGATGTAGCGCATGCATCAGCAAATAAAAGAAATTTCAATTCTGGATGCAGCAATAATAATTCGGGTTTAATAGTTGTAGATTTAAAACGAGACCATCGGGGATTGATAGGGATAGGGATGAATTAGGAATATTTGGATTTTTTGTTTATTTTATCAAATATATTGAACATTGTGTCACGTTTATGGTTTAGTGCTTTTTTATTTTAGCCGCAGTTCATTGGAAACACGCTAATGTGGGACCGAAAGGGCTATGGGAGTTTGTTTATTTTAAAACAATGATATATTATATTTGAATATAAAATAAATGTTGTCCTAATATAGAAGGAATTATTAGACCAAGCTTAAAGTATACAACTTCTTGTCAGTCTTTGTAAATGAGAAAAAAGATACCTATTATTTTTGTGTAGTTTTGTAAATCAGAAAAAAGATACCTATTATTTTTTATAGAGTAAAAAAGAAGTTTTATTTCAAACAGATTAAAAAATATATAATATCTACATTATGTACTACAATATAATAAAATAAGTTAAAAAATACGATTAAAAAAAAATAAATAAGAACAATATTTACATACACACAATCACCTAACTATAGGATTGATTATATACAATATTTACAGTATATTTCAATTTCATATGTTTCAAAAATATTAGAAACTGATATATGTAATTATGAGCAGATTCCACAAGTTATAATAGATAAACAACTCCTGGAAAACAAAAAAATATGTTATTTAAGTATTATTTAAAAATATTAAAGAAACCTTACCTTTTAACAAAATTATCCCCAGCTTCTATAATTTTAGGGACTGTTTGTTTGGAGATTTGATTATTTTTGTCCGTTTTCTTCGTTTTGTGCTTGCGGTGCTCCTACGAAATTAAATGTATTACAACCAATGTTTTGCAAAAAAATTGAGTTTTATTAATTACCTCGACAAGCTCACCAATTTTAAACCTTTTTAATTCCTTTTTAGCATCCGAGGAATGTCCAAAATTGTCAAATTCCTTCGTTGCGTCTTTTCCTGCCCATTCCTTTATAAGGTCCGCTCCGCCAGGATGCTAAAAGGGTGATAAGAAACATTTAATTCAAAGCTTTGGACCCTCACATTTAAATATGTATAAAAATACTGATCTTTAAACTGTAGATAAATATGGTTGAGAAACATTTTATCACATAAAAAAATGTACAGCAATATCTTCTTAGGAAAAGACTTTAATGTTATAAATTGTTCGAATTAAATAGGTACCACATTAACTCAACTTTATTTAAACTTCTTTATATTAATATAGTGCTAATTATCATTTGAATTTGTGTAATAAAAATAAACAGCTATAAATTTAAATATGAATATATTGGAATAATTACAACACTTACTTCTTCTAAATACTGTGTGACATCGTAAACTTGATCCTTAATGATGATCCACAATTTATCAGTTTGTACACCATTATTTTTAGCAATTTCTTCGAGGGTGTAATACTTTGTTTCGGTTGTTGTGTTAGTGTTAGTGCTTTCCACCATTTTTTTAATATTAAGTAAAATCTACTAAACACTATATTTTTTAATCACCGCACCGTGGTTGTATACTGATCAGAGACTCATAAGTAATAAGACGATTTCATTAGCTGTAAGATTGTTTATAAAGCAAAAAATCTTATCGGGGATTTCCGATATTAGCGTAAATTAAATATTTCGATTTGAATCGGTAAGTACGTAGTTTTGCAATTGTTATTACAGATAATTCGCTTCGGAAAAATGTATATTTTTAACGTTATATTCAGAAATGTTAAACCGCGAATTCCCGTATGCTTAATTTAATAGTTTCCTGGAAATAATTAAATTGGTAAAGATGTGGGCAATTCTAGATAAAAATAACGATAGAATTATCCTCAAATAAAGTTTATAGGACTTCTCTTTTAATTAATAAACTCTCTTAAAAATGTACTATGAAACGAGGGAACGCATTTAACGAGAATTTCTCCCATAATTTCCCTTAAAACAAAATAATTTACATACTTTTAAAGGTAAGGCCAAGAATCAGATGAACACGAGTGGATTATTTTGACTGCTACAGGAAAAGCCTCTTCGGTTTATTAATTATTAATTTTATGAAGACTGCCTTTTCAATGATGAAAAAATTGGGTACCTACTCAGAGATTTCTTTTTTAAATTATTCCAACTAAATCAGTACAAAAAAGCACTTTATCGAAGATAGATAAATCAAACATCTTGAATAATATAAATAAATATCTATTATTTAGAAGGTATCTACTACCTATTATTTTACAGTAGGTATAATTTTTATCAATTCGTTTTAATTGACATTTTTAAACTATCTTCATGAAGCACTTTACATATGTATCAAATTTCGATACTTATGTGATACAAACAAAAATAGGTAAAAATGTTTTTTACCTCAATTAATAAAGTGCCGATCTATTATTTGAAGTAACATGATTATCTACAAGTGTGTATAAGTAGGTATGCAAATAATTGACGGAAGTTTTCTCACGTAAATTGATAAAATTTTTCATAGCGTCATTCAGTACATTCTTTGATAAATTCTGTATAATAATTACCAAAAGTCCAAATTTAATCGATTGTTTACATCAATTGAGCTGAATTATGTGGTTAAATATAAGGTAGGTATGTACATTGAGAAATAAATATATTGGATGAATATTGAGAGAAGAAGCGTGAAATTTGAAAAATAATAAAAATAAATAATTTCTCGACGAATATTTTCACATTGTGTACTTAGTAACTTGAACAGTCTAAGTATTAGCAATTTTATAGTACTTTTTGAACTTCTTGATTTACTCAATAAGACGATAAGAGGAAATTCGAGCTTTAAATTAAAGCCATATATAGATATTTTCCATGTCTATATCAGTTTTCGGCATAAGAAATTCGGTCTAAAATTATCTTTTATGGGCCAAATAAAAGAATTTTCTGAAGATTATTTAGGCAATAAAGTATAATAATTTGAGAATAAGTCGATGTACGAAAATTAATCAATTAATTAAAAGAGAAAAAAGGACAGAAGCGGTAAGTTTTTACACTAGGACTTGCTTATTGTCAATCAAATTGGTAAGTCATGTGAATAAATTAGATACAAAAACAATAAAATTAGCTCAAAAATAACTAACATTGACGTAAGTAGATACTATATCAAGATCAAGTTCAAGATAAATATTGAAAAAGTGACGTCGCGTCGCTAATAATCGATAAATTGATCAAAGAACCTAATGATAATCCAAGTTGTAAAGATTGGTGATATTAGTTTATACAATTTTACAATCTCTAATAATTTTTACTATTAATTCTAAGTAGGTATTAAAAATAGTATTGAATGGAATAATTGATTTCTAACGGAAACGCAATAAAATTTATTATTTATGTGTTAACTAGTATCTTTAGTTTAAGTAGGTACATAGGTATGTTAAGTATGTTTAGTACTTTACGTTTTACTTTAATACAGTTATTCATAGATCTCATACTATGTACAAACTAGATGTAGAAACTTTTTAAATCCAATGAGTGTCTGTTGAAGTTATAGACACGTTTGTATTTCTTTGAAGGAAATGAGACAATTTTAACCGCATATTCTAGTACAAATATTACCTATCTACCTGTTATAATTATTAATTAGTAAGGAAATGCAGGATGCTTGTTCAATATTCCCAAAATATCTTCCAGCAATGCGTGCGAAATTGAGCTATCTCTTGCTTCTGCAATGCAACAAAATACAGTTGGTAATTTTCTGTTATTGCGGTGATACATAGATAGAGGGTGGTCCAGAACTCACGCCCCACGAAAGTCGATTTTAAATCGCTCTAATGCTCTATTTACCAAAGGAAAAACATATTCATGTCTTCGGCTGCAGTTTTGGCACCTTCATTGTCGTTTCCATAAGGCCATTCCCTGTGGGTCGTGAGTTCTGGACCACCCTGTATATTATGCTGTTTTAACAAAGCTGTTGCACGAATTCTCTCAATAGGTAATTCGGTGATTTGATAATTTGCAATGAATAATTTAGGCTGAGCTACACTGAAAAAATTTTGGTACATAATATCAATGAACACCATGTTTTCAACTTGTTTTCATTAGCTCAATAAAATAATACATTAATCCAATAAATTTTCATTCATTAGTTAATGAATTCATTTATTAACTCAATGTTTCTTGTAACATTAATTATTAATGTAAAATTTCATTAACTCAATAACAATTTTTATTAATTCAATGAAATTTAATCATTAATATAATAACCTAGTACATTAAAAGCGAATATTTCAGTTAATGTATTCGATACATTAAATCAAAGTAACTTGTACATTAATATAACGAATTGTTCATTCTTTTAATGAAATTTAATTATTGAACCAAAAACATTAATACATTAGTTCGATAAACCACATTCGTCATTTTTTATGTTGCCCGTACATTGATTCAACAAATTGAGTACATAAATCCTATGTTCGAGTTCATTGAGCCAATGAACGCATATACATCATTAGTTCGATAAAACACATTCGGCATTTTTAATGTTGCCCGTACATTGATTCAACAAATCTAATACATAAATTCTATGTTCAAGTTCATTGAGACAATGAATGCATATACATTGGTTCGATAAACCACATTCGCAATTTTTTATGTAGCCCGTACATTGATTCAACAAACTGGATAAGTAAATTCTTGTCTCGAGTTCATTGAGTTAATGAACACTTTTCATTAAGTCAATGAATATCAGTTTGGATTTTGGCAATACACACTAGAGTGCAAATCTATGCCGTTCTATTCTATTAGAAAAAAAGAAATAGATAGAGACGCTTTCGAAAATCGCGTTGACCGTTAATTACCCCTCTTTCTCTCCTGTTATTTCGTGTTGAAGCGTTGAACTGGAAGTGTTCTGTTTAGTTAATTTCGTTTTAGTTTTGTATTATAAGAAGGAAGAAAATTCAAGCGCTGTTGTTTTAAGAGGTAAGCATTTTTTAATTCGGTACACTATAGGTTAATACTTATACATTTTATTTCTAGGATTTAATTTTAAACACAAACGTAAAGCCTAAGGGAGATATAAGTGCAACAACTTCAAGATTCATACAAAATGTGTGTAAGTTTTTATGGTTTTTACTACTACTCATTAAATTATTGGATATATTAAATTTTTAGGCCCCAAAGACATTTGTGAAACGTGCATAAGACTTCTGAAGTTTGAAAATTTATCATCGGAAGAGTTCGACGTATGCAGCATGTATTGGAACTTCGCTTGAGTGACATAAAAAACGCACAAAAATTCAGATGATAAAATGAACTTATTACAAACGACCATCTGGATATAGCTTGGTGAGTACCTTCAATAGTATACCTACCTATACACCGTGCTTCATTCGCGATTGCAACATGAGCATTTCTATGAGTTGAACAAAGAAATATTAGTAAAATAACAGTTGTCAGAGTGAAAAGTTGCAATGACATAATATCATACTGTTTCTTTTTTCTTTACAAGTGTCTAATTGAAGTTATCTTTGTTGCACCTATATAGCCTATGTTGCAATCTATATACTTACTGGATATGTAGATAGGAATTTACAGTCTACTATATTAACCCATAATTTTTTTTAGATCGATATGGATTTCGCCCCAGCGTATGATGCAAAGAATTTTATGGAATAATTCGAAAATAATTCTTTGAAGATTGACCAGTTTCTTCTAGCAATAATACAAAAAATGTAAATTCGTTAATTTAATAAATCAAATTCATTAATTCAATGTACTGCGTTCATTAATTCAAAAGCTAAAATTCCTTAATTCAATAAAAGAAATTCATTAAACCAAGATCTAAGTTTCATTGATTCTATGAAAGCATTTCATTGATTCTATGAAAGCATTTCATTGAATCAATGTACTACATTTATTAGAAAAAATCTAAAATTTGTTGAATCAGTGTACACCGTTCATTAAACCAATGTAAAATATTACATTGAATTAATGTACTTCTTTATTGGGTCAGCAACTTTAATTCATCGAAACAATGATTTTCATTTCATCATATCAACGAATTATACATCACTTAATGTACCTCTTCATCGCTTAATGAACAAACGTTCATTGATTTAATGAAATCGTTTATTGGACGACTTTTAATGTAAAAATTTCTTGGATTAATGTATTTTTTCATTATCTGCACGTACTTTTTTGGTTCAGTGTAGTTATATCGGCCGGTATTATTGCTATAAAATGAGATTATTCTGCAAACAATAAAAGCATAAAATACCTTTACAGATTCAACACGTAGCGAAAAGGTAGGTAATAAATAAATAAATAAAATAAATAATGAGAGAAGAACCTAAAACAATAAAACTGTTTTAAAATACACATATTCAAAATAATGATTAATATTTGTTACCGTTTTTGATTTTTTCCGACATCCATAAAACATATTCTCTTTATTCTCTTATTATTCGAACTTATTAAATTCAATTATCGCTTTTAATTAAATTCTGACATATTGTACGCTTCGGTACCCCCGCTTACCAATTCTCTCGTTCGTTCCCTGTGACGAGGAAGAATCAAATTAATATAGTAGGTGCTTAACAAACACAAATACGGGCCAATTTAGAAATACTATGCAATAGTGGAATATTAATTCATGTTTATTTATGCTTATTGAATTGCAAGCTTTTCGAAAGCTGTTTATTCGAACTTTTTATATCTACTTATATCATATTTTTTAAGTCACTATGTGATTGTTTACTTAGGTATTCGTTTCGTAATTGTTGTAACGCAATTTGATCATTTTTATTTAAAGGTTACGTCGTTTAATTTAAGTAAAAAGTCAACAGCAAATAATAATACCTAAACCTCAATCTAGACAATTGGATAGAGCGAAATGGGAACGAGAAATAATCTGTGCTAAAATGTAATTAAGAGCCTGGTTTAGACATCCAGCCAATTATAATGGCTAATGCAATGTATCCTGCTGTGTTTTAAACACCAACAACGTGTTAATTACGGGACTCTTTCTATGTGACTTTTCACATTTATTAACCCTCCTCCATCCATTTTAACACTTTCACGTTTACTTCAAACGTCGTTTTGAAAACTTTCGATGCTCAGTTTAAGTTTTAAGTGTGCCTCTTGAGATTCCTACCTAATACGGTACATACTTTACCTTTACACTGTACGTTCGCTGATTAAATATTAGAGCTCTTAATATAAAATTTAATTTATTATTTTACATTTCCCGTGCTTCAATAACGTTAATTCGATATACAAATTCAAATGTTTCATAGGTAGAAAGATTAATTAAAATGATAGAGTTGATGATTTAAGTTTTCTAACTTTTCCTATTAGGTATGTTCCATTAATTAAAGATTGTTATATTTTGATAGCCATCCATATTCATTAAAGTTAATCAGTTTCTGATGTAGTTCTAATATGTACGTTAGAGATTAAGTTGATACAACTAAACCCAAAATATCCATATTATCCTTCATATCAGATAAAGCTTTTATAAGGATTATTCTAATATAAGTGGATTTTGGTTGTGTATAATCTAAAAGTAAATTTTAACACCATTTGAATCAAAATGCTATCTGGTTTGTGTACATAGCTGTCTACATATATGCTACAAAAACAAGCCAAAATAGCGTAACGATATTTTTATGAAAGTAAATCGCCTATAAAATTAATTCTAAGAAAAATTAAATGTAATAAAACCTTTTCAATTTTACTAGAATCAGTAAAATCTAGGTCTCGGTTTTTCAAATCAATTTAATAAATTAGCAGGTATCAATTTAAAGTACATGTCATTTAACATGTCTAATGGATGCTTCACGAAAAAAGAGAACGTTAACTTTATCTGTAATGAGGCGGAAATTTTCTATTCCAGTTGATTTAAGGTTAACGTCCGCTTATATTTTTTGAGAAGATCAATTGTAAAATATTGACCTTAAAATGTAATGTTCTTGTACAACTTTCGGCAATTTATTTTTGTTATCATTTTTCGTGACCCATTTTCCTATAAAATATTTTTTTCAAGAGTTATGCTCGTAGTGTATCTTTAGGTATCTATATCTTATATTGTTTCCGATTTTAATTTTAATAGGAAACAATTTTATTTTACCCTTAACTGACGCATCAATACAATTTTACGTTTCGACGATTTTATTTTGAATGTCGAATCTCGAAACAAAAAATTCAAAAGAGGATTTAGTGTAAGCAAAAGAGATTTAAAACTGTTAAAGCACGTTCGACAGAATATCAGTTTTCTGAATGGTATGTAGTGATAGAGAAAGAGGAAATTCAAATCACTATATTTTGTATTCTTCCAGGAATATTGTTTTAAATATTCAATTATAGACAATACATGCATATTTGAATTTAGAGCTTGGTTTGAAATGGATGTATCAATTTGATAAAAAAAAACGTTTTGCCGATTTAATATATTGACTACGACTGAGATATTTTAACAGCTTTTACAATTTTTCATAACGCATGGAATGGCGAAAATGAAAATATCAAACTGACGGCGTAAATCGTCGTAAGTATTGCTGCAGAGATAAACAATGTTTCTGCTTTAATCTAGAAACTTTTCACCTTCGATGAATTATGACGAATAAATTCCATTTGTCAATAACTCACTGGGTCGTATTCTTCTTTATCTGTTGATTTATCTGAGGGTACAAAGTGATTAGCGTTATCGATCCTTCCAACAAGAAATTATTGTTACTGTCACTTAATCCTTTCACCATATGTGCTAATTTTATTTAAAATTTTAGAATCTTCATTTAGCTTTGAAAAAACAAATATTTTAAATTAGTTCAAGTGCCTCAAGTTAGTTCAAAATCAAAAATTTCTGGGAAATAAATTTAAATACTATAGGCATAACTACAGATTAATTAACAGCATAGTCAATTGTGTTTGTGTGTGATACATTTAATAATCTTTCAAATAGCATTCAACAAGTATTAGGTCGTATTTACGATATTTCTATAAATCAACTTTATTGATACAACATTTTGTCGAGAACATAAGCGCAGATAACGGCATTGATGACAAATGGCCGATGTCAATAAAATCCCAAATAAACCATTTTCGCCCACTCTTAACACTTTTTTGTAATGAGAATCCCACTATAGGCGACTCCTCCCTTAGTGGGGGTAAATGCGAAAAGGAGAAATTTGTCTATATAAAAGTGGGCATCGTTGCGCCGTATTCGCATTTGGCGGGGTGAAATCATTTCGAATATTCCGCACCCTCTGTATTGCCAACAGGTCACATATACGTAAAGTTACATAGGTTGTAGTTTTTGAAAAGTGCGCGAAGCTTTTTTACACCGAAGCTTCAACAACTAAAGTAAGTATTTTATTACTTTTAATTATACATGTACATATTTATTAAACATATGTTCTGGTTTTATAATTTATTAAGTAAATTTCAATAAAGTCGTCTATTTAGTGGTCTATATTTTTGTTTTAAGTTATTAAAATATTGGTCGGTATTATAAAAACTTTCCAATCAAGTAAAAGTAATTGAGGTAGGTACCAGATGTTTTTATAACTAAATAATACTATTTAATTTGACCCCTTTGTATTTAAAAATATTTTATAAGGCAAAGGTAATTTATTCAAATCCAATTAATTTATTCACACTATTTAGGAAGACAATTACTGCAATTAAAATAAAGTATTGTTGGAAAAAATATGTATGCATGTATTTGTAATAATCACAGATAATATACAGACTTTAGTAGGTATCCTAAAATTTTCGAGAAAAATTGTTTTTGGAAACTTTGTAATGAAATAAATTCAGCGAACCTTCCGAAAATGTTCATAAAGTGGACTAAAAAGTTTTGTAATTTCTAAACTACCTGTAATATAAAGGACAGTACGATAAATTTTCCACTACAAGAAACCCCACTAAAAAATTTCATTAATACCTACGTAATTTCGATAATTGAGTTCACTTTACAGAAAGTTTATAGGTACATTTTTTACAAAATTATATGTGCGAATTCTATTCATCCCGCCGGCTGCGAAAATACTTAATAAAGTTTAGCCGTTATTAAAGTTTTTTAAATGTACTGTGTTCGATAGAGTTTGGCTATTTATTTCGTGATTAATGTGACAAATAATACATTGTAGAGTAATTAGAGAAATATTAGTCTGGTCACATACATATGCGAAATTATGTGTAAACCGAAAAATTAATGATCTACAATACGCGGTCTGGCTGTCTCATTCCAGTTTAATAAAGCGGTGTACCAAGTAATTGCGAATTTCGTTCTGAGATCAAGTAGGTAAATGAAAATTAGTTGGGTTCAGTACTAAAAGTACGCGAGGAGCCAATTAATTTGCAGCTTCGGTAGTTGGTAGTCAAATTGCTTTCTCCCGAATTTTAGAAAATTTCAAACGTTCTCTTTACAAATTACCAGTTCAATTCAAAAACTGGATATTTTTTAAACGCGGCATGTTATATTATAACTTGGAATGCAGCTGGATAGTTGTAGGAAAATAGTCGGAGATTGCATCGAATTAGATTCCTTTCATATCTTTCGGTTGTTCGCGGAAATATTTTTTTTATTCCGGAATTTCAATAAGATACGTACACATGCTTCTCGTTAGGAGACTTCATTCAAAGTAGGTATATGTCAAAGGAGGTTCATCTTCAGCGATCGGATTGTGTACCTACACATTCGTTTTACATTTGAAAGGGCATATGATCATAGTGATCACAAATATTTTTAAGATAGATTCATATTGACAAAGCAAAATATCTTATTCTTTTTATTTGCAATTCTGTTTTGACATCAATACTTTCAGTTAGTGTCACTGCACTAACAACACTAAACTGCACTAAAATTGCTTATGAAAAAAAAATCTTATAAAGTATATTGCTAATATTAAACTGGGTTATAGTGAACGAAATTTAATTAGTAGGTAGTAGTATTTTGAAAGTATTTTTCTTAATGCATTTTTAAAAGAGTTGATACAATATGTATGATGCAATTAAACAACAGAACAAATTGGTAGATATGAAATCAAAGGATACTTGTAAAATTCTCTCATTATTTATTATGTTTTCGTCTTTTATTGGCATAAAGGAGCGTGTAGTATTTCCTCACTCTTTGCTTCAGGCATAACTTCGAACTTGCAGGATAAAATAAGGATTTTTACTTTCTTTGTCATTGATTTATACAGAGAGGCCAAATTTCGATATCACAAGTAGAAATATCTAGATATGTAAATATAGATTTCCCCTTCTCGATTTCTTTATTGAATAAACTTAATGCCAAAATTCGAAATTAGTTCCTACGAATATAAATTCAAAAAAAAAAACGGAAAGAAATTAAGATGTAACGACAACACAGAAAGAAATTGTTGATACCCTATATAATATGCGTAAAAAATATGAGCATATTATTATCATAAGGAGTATAAGGATATTGTTTTTATCAAAGACAAGCAAAAACAATGAACATGCATGTTATGAATTACTTTTTTTGCGGTTTTATAAATCACAAACCATATCTCTTTTACTGATGTTGGCTTCTGATTATACTACCAAACATTTTTGTGAAATATGAGAATGTTGTAAAGTTTATTTTCTCATTATTTTTACTAAAATATTAATTATCCAACATCCGTTGTTAGTAGATTTTTACCTTACAACGTTCTTCTTCCTGTAAACAAACATACATATTAACATTTCAGCTATTAAATCGGAATTATGTAAATCCCCTAAACATTAAACATATAAACAATTAACATAAATGTGTATTTTTCAATATTTACTTTCATCTATTTACCTAAGTAAGTAAACTATAATCAATTCATTTTTTATAATTAAATACAAGTAATTAATTACTACCACTACAATTGTTATTATGATTATTAATTGATAGATATAATTTAACGTTGATACTACTTATTGGCCACTAGCAAATTCAATGTCTGGTCATAATCACGATCCACAACAGCGATTATTATTAGCGATTTTTAACCATATGACTGCAATCCATGCGTACACATATTAGTAATTACTCTGAAATCCATTAGGAATATCAATTAACTGTTTGTTAAATAGAACGGTCCATGGATATTTGTTTATTTGCTTTTATGGAACGTTAATAGGAGCCACAAAACGGTTTTTATGGAATATTGACTGGTGGGAATAATTATTTGTTAAAGTTAAATAATTATATTTTAAACTGTCCCAACGAAAACAGTGTAGAGATATAAAAATAATTTCCTTGAAATTAAACAAAGCTTAAAATTGATATGACCAAATGATCTTGAGTCGAATTAAAGGACTCGATAATTAATTAAAGCATTTTATAAATAAGGGTAGATAGAGGTATACCAGCTCATTTACACCAGAAATAATCAGTCTCTGATTGTGTATACACTGAAAGTGTATAAAACAAGCCTATATTGCCAATCGAAATTAAAATTAATTTCTCAAATTTGGTGCGTTTGTAAGATTTGTGTACTTTAACCACCGCAATCACTTCACACATTCCGTTTCATTTCTATTTGCGAACGCCTACTCTTTGAATATTTTACTTCGGCCTTTTTGCGATACGTGCTCGGCCATTAAATACAAAGCTCAAAGTGGAAAAAGAATCTTTATATGGCAATTAAAGAAATATTTCAACTTCTATTACAGATATAAAACTAGCGTCCTAATTACTAGATAATTGTACTGCAGCAGTAGTGAGAATTTTAATCTCCTAATACCCCCAACACGGTGAAAGATTTCATTTGGAAAATTGTAAAAAATCCAATTACTATAATGCTCTGGAAATAATAACGAAGAAATTTTATTTAAGGGAAAATGTGGCCTTATGAATATTAGAGTATTTAACAGAGTTTCTTAGCAAGGTTGCGAACTGTTTTATATTCTTGTAACAAACTTTTTGTTCTTTATTATTTGCATCGCTTTAGAATTATTTCAATTAATAAAAAAAAACAAAATTATTACTAATAATGGCATTTACCTCTACAAGCTCTCATAGTTTAAGCTTTAAATTAGAACTAAATGTACAATAAAAATGCGTTACATATTTCTAAATTTTTAATTTAGTGAATAATATAATTTTAATATTGAATCTGGCACCTTTTATCGCGTAAATCGAGGAAAAGTACCTACATAAATATATATTTTTACGTTCATTTTTTAAAACGACCTCTCTTAACAAGCTTTATACTTGCAAATCGGGCTCAAAGTGGTCATTGAATGAATTTTTATTTATACATTTTAATGCCTCGCTGCGACTTGAAATGGGAAAATAAATTGTAGTACTTCAAATCATAATTTAGTTGAAACGAGATTATTGAGCGCAACCATTTTTTTTGTCGCGAAAAACTTTTATAAATATTCAATTTTAATGTCCGTTGATAAACTAAAACTAAAACTAAAATTAAACTAAAACTATTTTTAAATCTGGTTTTAATCGATTTCGTTTGATTAGCACATTTCATTTTTTATTAAGAATACTTATTAAAATGAAAATCCGCATCTAGCGCCTTTAATAAATTTTCATTAATCTTTACTTCCTGCAGATGGCATTTAATGAGCTACAAGCTTTAATTTATTTGATCATGAAAAATGCTCTGATTTATATCTACGTAGGAGTTGCTCAAAGAAAACAATAGATACCTACAGATAGCATTTCTTAAAGAGCTAAAAGAATACAAATACAATACAAAAACCATTATACATAAATCCGATGCAGATGTTTGAAGAAAAGAATAATGAAATGAATCCAAAATTTTCATTACCTAGCTCAGAGCTAGCCCTTTTCAAACAAACTCTGTAAACAAAAATAATTAATTGACACGATTCCAAATCGAAGATACTCCACTCCCATTATCATCCAAATCATTTAAAAAACAGCAATTAGGTACATACTAACTCAATTTGATTGAACGTTCCACAAAGTAGCTCTTAGTGTTTTATGAAATCCTTCAGAAAGCCCTCGAGTGGCATTAAAGGGTTCGTAAGGGTTTTCATTAACATTTCTCAAGCTATTTTCTACACCGTACAAATTGCTACCTTAAGAAGAGTTTATAAAACTTTCCTGATGGCGATTTGTACTTAAACGGTTATATTAGACGGTAACATTCTACATCTCATTTCTGCTGGCACGAAAATGAATTTTCTTCGAGCTGCAAGTCTTTAATCTTACTTTTTATTTAGCATCTGGTTTTTTTGAAGTACACGAGTTAGTAGTTTAAAATTACTTTGGTAATTTTCATTTTTCTCTATTGTTCAGGATACGTTCATGTTCATCAAAAATTGTGAAGCGACAAGTGGAATAGTCCAGTCGAGTTAGCCGAAAGCAAAGGACAAAT